CAACAAGCCGTCCAACGGGCCCAGCGGCCGCTGCCCTATGAAGACCTTCCAGTCTCCGACATGGATTTGGAGTTTGTGGCCGATGCATATGCATCCCCGACCAAATCGCTGAGGCCGTGGAGGCAACAGGCAGTGGGGGCATTGCGCGAGCTGAAGAGACGCTGGGAGGGGGTGACCCTCCACTTGAGATCTTTTCAAGAAACCGCCGTGCAGACAGGGTGGGATCGGTTCGGTTCGGTTCGGTTTCGGTTTCCAGGAACTGGTGAATTTCCGGTTCCCGGTTCGGTTCGGTTCCTCGGGATATAATTTAAAAAACGGTTCGGTTCGGTTCGGTTTCCGGTTCCTAACCGGTTTGGTTTCTGGTTCCTAACCGGTTCGGAGTAAGTCATGGTCTTGGTATTTGCTTTTTACGGCCATTCAAAAAAGCAAAACATGTTCCCAGTTAGTTGGTTGTTATGATTCATGTCAAGGACACGTTGCGTCAGGTGGACCTGGTCGTGGAGGCTGTTTTCGTTTTTCTAGGCTGCCAAAAAAGCAAATCCAACACGAGAGCACAAGGGTTGTGTTTGTGCTTTGCATAAGGGTTGTGCTTTTTCTTTTTTGTGGCTTTCGAAAAAGCACATCCAATACGAGGGCACCAGTTTTTTTTGCTTTTTTGGGGCTTCCAAAAAAAGCAAATGCAATAAGAGGGCACAAGGGTTTTGTTTTTGCTTTTTTGGGGCTGCCAAAAAAGCAAATCCAATAGGAGGGCACAAGGGTTGTGTTTTTGCTTTTTGGGGGCTGCCAAAAAAGCAAATCCAATAGAAGGGCACAAGGGTTGTGTTTTTGCTTTTTTGGTGCTTTCAGAAAAAACAAATCCAATAGGAGGGCACAAGGGTTGTGTTTTTGCTTTTTTGGGGCTTCCAAAAAAGCAAATCCAATAGGAGAGCCCAAAAAGCAAATCCAATAGGAGGACACAAGGGTTGTGTTTTTGCTTTTTTGGTGCTTTCAGAAAAAACAACTCCAGTAGGAGGGCACAAGGGTTGTGTTTTTGCTTTTTTGGTGCTTTCAGAAAAAACAAATCCAATAGGAGGGCACAAGGGTTGTGTTTTTGCTTTTTTGGGGCTTCCAAAAAAGCAAATCCAATAGGAGAGCCCAAAAAGCAAATCCAATAGGAGGACACAAGGGTTGTGTTTTTGCTTTTTTGGTGCATCCAGAAAAAAACAAATCCAATAGGATGGCACAAGGGTCGTGTTTTTGCTTTTTTGGGGTTCCAAAAAAGCAAATCCAATAGGAGGGAACAAGGGTTGTGTTTTTGCTTTTTTGGTGCTTCTAAAAAAAACAAATCCAATAGGAGGGCACAAGGGTTGAGTTTTTGCCTTTTTGTGGCTGCAAAAAAAGCAATCCCAATAGGAGGGCAGAAGGGTGTTGTTTTTGTTTTCTTCTTTCTTGGGCTTCTAAAAAAAACAAATCCAATAGGATGGCACAAGGGTTGTGTTTTTTGTTTTTGTGGTGCATCCAAAAAAACAATAGAAGGGCACAAGGGTTGTGTTTTTGTTTTTTGGGGGGCTTCCAAAAAAAACAAACGCACTAGGAGGGCACAAGGGTTGTGTTTTTTCGTTTTTGGTGCTTCCAGAAAAAACTATAGGAGGGCACAGGGGTTGTGTTTTTCCTTTTTTGATGCTTCAAAAATACAAGTCCAATAGGAGGGCACAAGGGTCGTGTTTTTGTTTTTTTTTGGGGTGGGCTTCCAAAAAAAACAAATCCAATAGGAGGGCACAAGGGTTGTGCTTTTTGCTTTTGTGGTGCTTCCACACCAAAAAAAAAGTCCAATAGGAGGGCACAAGGGTTATGGTTTTGCTTTTTTTGGGGCTGCAAAAAAACAAACCCAATAGGAGGGCACAAGGGTTGTGTTTTTGCTTTTTTGGTGCTGTCAGAAAAAACAAATCCAATAGGAGGGCACAAGGGTTGTATTTTTGGTTTTTGTGGGGCTTCCAAAAAAAACAAATCCAATACGAGGGCAGAGATTGAAGGGAACGTTTGCTTGAGAGAAACAAACAGAGCACATGCCGGCGGTTCGCATCCGGTTCCTCCCTCCGGTTCGTCCGGTTCGGGAGCTTATTTTATACATTAGCGGTTCGGTTCGGTTCGGTTTCCCAACTGCCGGTTTCTGGGCGGTTTCCGGTTCGCGCGGTTCGGTTCCCGGTTCGCGGTTCGGTTCGCGAACCTTCATCGAGATATGGGGCTCATAGCCTTGTTGATGGTGTTGACATCCTGGGCTGACACTAGCTTCCCCTTTGGCTTGATCTGTGGTTTGCCGGCAGTGGGCTATGCGCCACCCTATGGAATTTTTCCCCAGCAGCCGGCTGAGGTGATCAGCATGGCAGATGTTTTGGATGGGTGGCAGGAGCACAACCAGCACATCCTGAACCAGCTGCGAGCAGGCAAAGATGACGAGTTTCTTTTGCAACAATCCATGGAGGATGCCAACAACGGGTTTTGCACCGCACCTCTGCGACGAGCCGAACTTTTGCGGCTCATTGGCAACCGAGCACATCGTTTGATCCCTCGTTGTGTCATCACGCAGAGTTCAGGCAAGCAGAGAGTGATCGACAATGGCGACACAGGAGGACAATCAGCCCTCTCCTCCGATGCCAACAAGCTCACCTTGTGCAGTCCTTTGCGTCCGGCCCAGCACATTCGTTTGGTGATGCATAGATGGACAGCAGAGGACGTCGAGCACTTCTTCGCCAACGATGCCTGGGAGACAGGCCAAGAAGATCTACCATCAGCCTACCGGTATTGCCCCATGGCGATGCAGGAAAGCCTAGGCTGCGTAGTGGTGTGGTACCACCATGAATGGCAAACTCCAGCATATCAGGTCTATGCAGGCCTCCTTTTTGGGCTTCCGTTAGCGGTCACTTCATTCAACCGATTTTCCCGGTTGTTGGAAGCTTTAGCCAGGCGTTTTTGCCAAGTTTTGACATCTCTCTACTTCGACGATGCGACCATCACGGACCTACGTTCTTCCAAAGGCTCCGGACAATGGGCCATGAACCAGCTTTGCAAGTTGATCGGCTCCCCCTTTGCCGAAGACAAGAAGCAGTCAATGCAGAGCAAGGGCACCTTTTTGGGCCTAACCCATGACCTCGACTGCATCAACCAGACAGGGCATGTCCGTTTTTGGGCTCGAGAACGTCTTCATGATAAAGTTCGTGACCTCCTCACTACGGCTAGGACTACAGGTCACTTCAGCCGTGGCACAGCTTCGAAGTTGTATGGCCTAGCGAATTTCCTGGAGCAGGGTATCTATGGCCGTGTAGGGTATGGTGGCCTGATGGCAATCAAAGCCAGACAGGATGAAGCCACTACATCGGCAACCCCTGAGATTGAAGCATGCTTCGAGGTGATCGAAGCAGTGATGCGCTTTCAGCCAAAACGGGAATTTCCCGTCTTTCACCTGGACAACCTGCGCTTCCTTGCTGCTTCAGATGCTGCGGTGGAAGCTGACAATCCAGGCTCAGGAGGTTTTCACCTCATCTTTTTCCAGCCTGACGGATCCCAGATACGTCACAGTTTTGTAGCCAACAATTGTGCAGAGCTTCAGAAATTATGGCAGCCTGCAGAAACACACATCGCCCAGTTGGAGCTCTCGATGGTGCTGTACGCCTTAGTGGAACGACCTGACCTGTTTCGAAATCGACACGGGCTTTGGTTTCTGGACAATGTTGCAGCCGTCATGACGCTAGTGAGAGGACGTTCTAGCAATGCCGACTTAGCCAAGCTAGGTCATTTGATCCATCTAGCTCTGTTTGCACTGCGAGCCCAGGGTTACTGGGAGTACGTCCAGAGCAAGAGCAACTGGGCTGATGACATCAGCCGCCTCGGCGCTGAGGACCCATGGTGGCGATGCCATGGTTTTGACTTTTATTCGTCGTACCTTCCCACTATCTTTTTCCAGCTGCCTTTCGTCGCTGTCATTCTCACCTTCGAATTCCTATAGTGCTTTGGGGATTTGAGTGCATTGGGTGATACCTGCTGAGCAGGTTCCAGCCTGGATCACCAGGCAGCTGACCAGTGGTGACACTGGTCTGAGGCTATGTACATGTCACAACGTGACGACCCAAAGCAAACCTGAGGATTGCAGGTGAAATGTGATTGACATTGGCATTGCTGTGAAAAAGGAAAGCTGCGGAAGAGCGAGTAGTATCGAGTTTCATATAACACTTTGAGATGTACCCATGCATCGAGTTTGGCAGGCTTGGGTGTGCATGTATCATCTTTAAGTGTTCAATGAATGCTATCATTTTGGCTCAAGTAAACTTGAACCAAAATAGCATTCATTGCTGTTTCTTTCCCCACCCTCCCAACCCTAAGAGCCGACCTCCCGTGGAGATGTCCGCCTAGGTTAGGGGAGCCTGCATGGCAGGCGAGTCCATAGCCTCTTCTGGGGATTCTCTCTTGGGGTGACCAAGAGAGTTTTACCTTCCCTTAGGTTAAGGGTTGGGTGATCCCTGCTGAGCAGGTTCCAGCCTGGATCACCAGGCAGCTGACCAGTGGTGACACTGGTCTGAGGCTATGTACATGTCACAACGTGACGACCCAAAGCAAACCTGAGGATTGCAGGTGAAATGTGATTGACATTGGCATTGCTGTGAAAAAGGAAAGCTGCGGAAGAGCGAGTAGTATCGAGCTTCATATAACACTTTGAGATGTATATATATACACATACATAAACATAGAATCAGTCATATCACACAAAACAAACATATCATATGTATATACATACATACATACATACATACACACACACATATATATATATATATTTATATATATATATTTATTTATTTATTTACTTGTTTATTTACTTGTTTGCCCTCGTGGGTGTATTATCAGTTGGTGCGCATTGCAACTGGACTGCCTATAAGCAGGGGCCCATCATTGTGGGTCATCTTTCAGAAGCACGTCGAAGCACGTCCTAATTTGCAACGCGCTTCGGCCAACTTCAGCCCACCAAGAACTGCCATCCGGGGCACTTCAAGAACATGAAATTGGTCTTTGACATCACCTTTTGTGGAGACCGTGCTGGTGGAGAGAACTTTGATGCGCACTGCGGCCACTTGCTGAATGAAAACGAGACCTGCAGCGGCTTCGTGAGGCTGGGGGTCAGCGGCCCATAATGGGCTGAGTTGAAAGGCTGGAAGCTTTCATGACTGGATGCAAGGGTTTGTTTCCGTTTCCCTTTGGCATTTCATTCGAAGATATGACATTTTGATGCATGTTGAGAGCTTTTAGGTTCGTAATTCTGACCAGTTCAACAGCCACTGCTGCCATGGACCAACGCCAGGAACAACTTCTCGGCCTTCGATGAGGCTTATTGGTCGATACAGGCGAGCCACCAGGATAAACCATGGGGGTTTGCGATCAGCGCGGCCTTTTTCAGATAACATCCCATGTGCATATACATATACATACATATACAGATATGTATCTATATATATATATATGACCTGATATGCATATGAACATACTTTCCCAAAAAAATATAGGTTGGGCCTTGGCTCGCCTTTAGCCTTTGTCTAGACCCCTGGAGATGGCGACAGAGAGAGAGAGAGAGAGACACACACACACACCCATATATATATATATAATATAATGTAATGTAATGTAATGCAATGCAATGTAATGCGATAGATAGATAGATAGATAGGTAGGTAGGTAGGTAGGTAGGTGGATAGATAGATAGATAGATAGATAGATAGACAGACAGACAGACAGACAGACAGATAGACAGACAGACAGACAGACAGACAGATTGAAAAAAGGATAGACAAATAGACAGATAAAAGTAAAAATATAAAAAGAACGATAGATGGTAAGACAGATGGATGGATCGATGGATCGGTAGATAGACAGGTGGATAGACCCCACCGTTTTGGCTTCGGTTCCACGCAGGCCTTGGACGTGTACCACCGCAGGGACGCAGCGCGGTTCGATCTCAGCAGCGGCGATCGATGGCACGTCACCGCCCTGCTGATGGTGCTGGTGCTGGCGGCAAGATGAAGCTGGACATCTGGCTGAGATCGGCAACAAAATTTGTGGTTCAAGCCACATGAGGATGTAATGGGATGTAAACTTTGATGGATAATCAGTAGTAGTTCACCAAGGAGATGATATTTGGGTGTGTCTTGAAATGGGGGGTTAACTCCATCCAATGGCAATTTGATAGGTCAAAGATGCTTTAAACTCTAAACCATGGAAACTTGGGGTTGTCCAACTATTTTCAGACAAGCTTGTCCTGCTTAATGTTGGCATAGGCTGGCCAAAACCCTTTGGTACACATGGCTGGCTGGAAAATCATCATTTGGAATGGCTGGCTATGATCGGAGCAGTGACAGAAGAGGAATCATGAGGAATGTTCCAGCAAGCTGGGTCGGATTGCCATCTCACCGACATGTCTGACATGTCTCTTTTTTGTTTCCAAAGAAAAATCCTCCAAGCTGAACTTGGGAAATGCTTAGCCGGCTTGTCCTTGTCCTTTTCTGTGTGAAACTTTTGGAGCACAGCCTGTTTCTGTTGGGGCTAATTTGATTTCTTGGTTTCACCAGCCGCAGGACAGTGACAAGTTCGCAACCCCAAAGATGCCTGAGTTGATGAACTGCCTCTGTGTGGAGCCTCCAGCTGCTCCTCAGAATGACACCATGGCCGTCGACCCCCTGAACTACCAGAAATGACAGATCCCTGCAGGCCCTGGAGGTTGTGCCATGGCGGGGCACCCCAGTGACATGGAAATGGGAAATCACAAGTTGGAATGTCGGAGATGAAATGGTCCCTGTGGCCTTTCCAGAGGAGGGGTTGTGTGTCCCCACATTGCGACGCACTGAAAAGAGCGTCGCCCCAGCCCCTTGCCTAAGCGTTCGGGCTCAACTAACAATTGAGCCATTAATCCTGCAGACCAGCATCAGCTGTGTTCAGAACACATGTTGATGCTGATTTTGATGTCTAGGCCGTAGTTGTTGGAGACTTCCGGGCACCCTTTTTGAAACGTAGCCTGGTGTCGTGACATAGCTGCTGGTTTCGGTGCAGTCTTTGCGAAGCAGCAGCTTGGCTAAGTCCAAGTTCCTGCACCTCTGAAGCATAATCTCAGTTGTGGTGGTGTAATGTGGAAAATCCAACAGAAAAACGTAGCATTTGGGGATGGTCTATGCCATCCATTTATGGTAGGAATGGTTTCTAAACTCCGGGTTTACCACATTAATTAAGTGCACGCAGCCCGGGAGCTCATGATCTCGGCATGGTATGGCTACTGCAATAAAGGTTGCAGGCATTTGCAGGCACTTGACACTTGCCTGGACCCCAAGGGCGCCAGTCATGGCTTGATGTTTGGTGGATTTTTGGTGCTGCAGATTTTGGGCCAAACATGGTATGAATGGGATTCAGAAGAAGTGGCTGCTGGGGGTCCCATGTTAGGTAGCAATTCGTTTCCGATTCCTAATTCATGGGCGTATTTCTTAGGATTTGATGCCATAAGGGAGCCGAAAAGAACTCTTGTTTGCTGCCACCGAAACGGGTCGCGAGATGGAACATGAGCTTGGAACAACTTGGAGCATCCCCAATAAGGTGGCAAACCCAAAGATAAACATCCAATCTGGGAGGGTTTATACAACCACTTTCTGGTCCAATTTGGGATTGATCAAATTGTGTAGGAAAATCACCGACATCTTGGAGCTGGGTGATATTCTATCTATACCCCATTGGAAATTATCCAAATGATGCATTGTAATGAGGTAAAACCAATAATAAACACTCCCCAATCGGGGTTTATGAAAATAGGTATGCCGGATGATGTAAATGACCCCGATTTATGGTCAGTGAATTGAATAGTTTGTGGCATTTGGTTTCCCACATTAGGAAAAACATCCTGCAAGATGTTTCGAACGAGACCCTGGGGCGAGCGGCAGGAGTCCCGAGTCCCAGACGGTCGAGAAGTGACGCGGCTGAGCAGGAATTGCAAGTTCGATGCGTTGGGAGTTAGTTTTTTCTTTGCTCCTCCGTTGAGGAGCATTTCCAAATGATATGAATTTTTAAACAAATCAGATTACTTATATACTATGTATACACACTTATGGACTACAGTGACAGTGATGTATTTCCACGCCAAATGCCTCACACTAACCGCCGGAAACCGCTGGTTTCCTCACATGAAGCTTTGCTACAGCAGGAGTTGGGCCCAGCGAAGACAAAAAAAACAGCGCGGCCACAATGGCGCGACTCAAGAGTTTAAAGACAGCAGCACGCAAATCTAAGGTAACTTCTAAGGATTTGTGTAAGTTCTGGATAGTTCTGGCACATCCCACTCTTTAACAAATTCTTGATTTTATGAAAACCGAGCTCATGTTGATATAATTCTTGTTTCTTTTGGGAATAAAACTTTTTATGATCTGGCAATTTGACATAGCTATGGAAAATCACCATTTTTACACCATCGAACTAAATGAGCCATGGCTTTCATAGCTGTGTTGAAATACCGAGGGTAATTTCTAGAGAGTTTGCAAATGTTAGCACATCTTCTTCCAAAACGTATCCATTTTTTGTACAAAAACAAATGGACCGATTGTCCCGGATGACACAATAGTGACTAGGTTTCTTGAGTTGAGTTGAAACCACCAATCTGCAAGGTCAAACCTTAGATATAAATAAACCCCGTTTGGTCAATTTGGGGTGTCATCCCCATCAGTTTCGCACCAATCATCTTCCCTCAAGGAGGATTGGATGATGATCATGGTGCATATGAGCTGCATATGCGTATATGTTTGTTACGGTAATCAGTTTTCTTACTATTGATAATCATTGATGACCGTTATAGAATTCTTACTGATGGTAATGGAAATAATGGATTTATCATCATCATCATCATCATCATCATCATCATCATAATCATCATCATCATCATCCTCGTCATCGTCATCGTCATCATCATCATCATCATCATGATCATGATCATGATCATGATCATGATCATGCTATTTGCTGTTATTGACATTTGATATTGACCATGGCGTTTCCATTTCGCATCCTCGGGAAACAAAACACAACCAAGCGACGAAGCCTTCAGCGACGATGGACACGGTGGCAGGTGCGGATGCGGCGCCAGCTGCTGGACACCTTGTGCGAAGTGAGGGCGCTGGAGGTGCTGGCGAGTGCTGAAATGACCAAACTCATAGAATCGCACAATGGTCACATTTCAATAAGTATGGTCACACACACACACACATATATATATATATACAGTATAAATATATATATATATATGTTGTATATATATAAATGTATGTATGTAATGTAATGTAATGTCATGTCATGTCATGTCATGTCATGTAATGTAATGTAATGTAATGTAATGTAATGTAATGTAATGTATGTAATGTATGTATGTAATGTATGTATGTAATGTAATGTAATGCAATGTAATGTTATGTAATGTTATGTTATGTTACTGTATGTTATTTTATGTTATGTTATGTTATGGTATGGTATGGTATGGTATGGTATGTTATGTATGTATGTATGTATCTTATATATATATAAATTGTGTATCTTATTTGTATACCACTTGTATACGATGTTGTTAGTTTATTGGTTGATGTGTCTAGTTTTTTGAGGGACTGAATTTTCATCGAGAATCAACTGGAGGTACCACTGGCCATCCGATTGGGATTGTGGTGGTTGGTAGGTGTTGGTAGTGATACTGTTCACATGTGAGCCCCCGAAAAAGATTGAAGTGATTGATATTGAAAACTACCAGACGATCAATATTTTTCGTGAGCACCCTTAGCCTTTCTGTGGCTGTGGGGGTTTCAAATTTTGACCCATAGCCATTCCGAAAACCAGGCGGGTTTGGGGAGGCAGGCGCAGCTAGTGTGGAGCCCCGGCTGTGCTGCGAGATACTCGTTGCTGTATGATGGGAATATTACCATCAATGGGGATGCATAAGTACAACGAACAATCCACAGAAATATGATGGGCATAACTGGGAAAACACACTAGATGGATTGTTTAGTACCAACTAATCTGAGTTTCGCAGATATTGCAAGATTTGATCTTGGAATCTATTCGAATGTGGTTTGATGATGCCCGCTTGTTCTTTACCATGTCGTCTGCTTCACGCTCCATCCCAGCGAACTTGACGAGGAGTGCACTTTAGACCCGACATATGGCTTTTCAACACGTGGGGTATTGCCTCTCTGAGACTAGAGGTTGATTTCCCCCCAAAATGACTAAAGACCCACCGTTTTTTAAAAAAATCCTGGCGCAAACTCGTGCAGTGCCCCGCTTGGATGCGCCCTGCTTGGTTTTTCAAGTGGTTACCTGGTGTGGCAGAATCATGATAACTAATACTTATGACTTATAGCCCAGTTACAGAAAGTTTGTGAATCCCACCCAGCTTAGAATCGCTGGTTTGTACTAGATCCCCTCCATTTTGCGACCTTGAATATGATCCTAGGTGGGCACCATCGCGAAGCTACGGATCTCAGCCACGGCACCCAGTGGTCAACGGGTCAAGACTTGTTGTTTTGGTAGGCCACCCTCCTGAAAACGAGCAGAGATACAAAAAGCCATCCTTTGCTCCAACTGGAGCCATTGAGTGAACGGTATGGTTGGTGGTTACACATGTTTACTTTTCAACCCTAGAAAAGGGAGGATGATCCCAACTGACGAGGGTCTTTTTCCAGGGGTGGCTCAAGCACCAGCCAGTCTGGTGCCATTGCCCGGTGGCCTCAGGAGACGCTCCCTGACCTCAGTACTGACTTTGGTGAGCCGCCAACGGCATCAGCCAAGGAGAGGGGGTTGGTCCCTGTTGGTGAGGGCAAGGTCGGTCTGAGGTCATGTAGAACCCTAGGCATTCCATCATGAGGTATCCTTAATGACTGTAATGCTGGTTTGTCACCCAGACATCATGGATTCTCAAAAACATGTTTTGGATTACCCACTCTTAATGGGATGATTCCTGCAGCTGAGTCATTTTTAACGTACCGTGGGTGGTTTATGGTGGTTTGATATGTGTTGTCCCTGGACCTGGCTCAACCTCAACCCTCAACACCCTAAGGTTGGGGGAGACGGCCCCTTTGGGGTTCACGTTTCCATGACAGTTATGGGCCCATTGAAGCTGCCATGCCCTCCAAACCACCGGACCGGTCCTGGCAGAACCCCGCTCCGCTGTTGGCGGCGGAGGCTTTGCGTGTGCATCTCAGATGTCTAGTGAACATTTTGGCAAGGGTCTGAAAGAAAAGTTACACGTGTGCTTTTCACCAGCAAAGAATTGGAGTTATATACACATGTATATATATATATATCTATCTCTCTCTCTCTCTCTCTCTCTCCCTCTCTCTCGCTATATACAATAAACGGATGTCACATCCTTTGAAGAAACTGTGCATCCTGCGGCTGAGTTTGCTTTGGGGACTTGGACCTCTCCACCAGCGCGGGTGTGCGCAACCTCCTTCAGGTGGGAGTGGATTGCCATTGAAGTCATACTTTTCTGCAGACTTGTGCTGCATATTTTGGCTCAAAACATCTCAAAACCATATAAATTCGTACATATATATATATATATATTCAAATAAAAAATCCATAGATAAATAAATAGATAAATAACATAAATTAAAAACATATATAAGCCGATTCTTCGTAAAAAATGAACCACTCGAGATTTGGCTGCAAATGATCGTTTCTGAAAATGGGAGAGAGAGAAAACAGAAGCGTGACTTCAAAAAAGGCAAACTCTGTGGGCACACTGCTGCCTGATGTTCGTAAATTTTTACACGCCAGCAATAAATGAAATACCATATCCAAGAATAGGGGACTCACTATAGTTTTTTTTAGTATCATAAACCATAGTTATTGGAGTTATAAACCCACTCACCAGTTTTATTCACCACTTTCTTTGCGTGGGATGCCAGGTAGACCAGATGTCGGAGCTACACCATGTGGTGCAGCACCAAATCTCAGGGAAGTGGCTCTTGGCGCCTCGGGCTTTGATAGTGTCACCATGGGACTGGGAAACCAAGGGAAAATGGAGGGTTTGAATGGGAAAACCATAGGAAAACCATAGGAAAACCATAGGAAAACCATAGGAAAATGGAGGTTTACCCTCTGGTAAACTAACATAACTATGGAAAATCACAATTTTTAATGGGTAAATCAACTACAAATGGCCATTTCCAATAGCTATGTAACAGATGACCAGAGGGTAGCAATTTTGCTGGTGAAATCTTCCGAAGACTTGGATTTGACCAAGAATGGGTGGTAGTTCTGCGCGCGTTCGTTTCGTTCGTTTTTGTTTTAGTTATCTAGTGCCCTCATCTAGGGAACTCTGCCGCAGCGGGGAAGGAGCTTGAAATGGGTTTCCAGCCCGAAACCAGGTGAACTTGAGAAGTGCAAGTCAAATGTTTCCGCAGGACAAGGGCAATGCCAAATATTCTTTGGCTTATAACGTCTAAGATCTAAACTTTCCATAGTCCCTGGATGATGTACATCCAAATCGTTTTCATATTCCTTTAGGTTTTCAGGTGCTTGAAACATTTTGAAACCACCAGCCAGTCACGAGCGTGAGGTTTTTTAATGGATGGAATCATGCCACGGTCTTCCTCAATTGGTCCATCCTGGCCGAGGTAGGCTGTTTGCTTTACAACGCCTTGCTTGGCGACAGCTGCTCGGCAGCACTAACCCCACCTCACACTGACACAGATTTGGATGTGCACATTTAGTCATGAGCACTTGTCGGACCTCTGAACGTGGGACATTCATTTTACTAGTTGTCATAAGCTGGATTCAAGCTTAAACAAGTTATGCAAAAATCCTTGTAATTGTTGATTACATCTCAGTTTCTTCCGGAAAAACCAGCAGCATTTGCCGCGTAAACGGCATTGTGTTGGTGGTGACACAAATCAAATCACCATTCCTATCTGATGGTTTTACACATTATGATGTTCCATGCATTTCCATGCATTTCCATGCATTTCCATGCATTTCCATGCTATTGATGACGATGATGATGCTGATGATGATGATGATGATGATGATGATGATGGATGACGGATGACGGATGACGGACGATGGATGATGGATGATGGATGATGGCTTGGATGATGGTTATGATGATGATGATGGTTATGGTGATGATGATGATGACGATGATGATGATGATCTAAATTGATTGGCCTTTTCTGGGGACCTGGAGGTCTCTTGCGTCGAAGCGTGGACATGTCTAAAGGCGGGAGATGTGCCATGCCTCCCATGGGGTGAAACTAGGAATATGGGTTTGTCTGAAATGGGGCGTGCCTCCGATTCAAACGAATCATCATGTTTCTCATTATAGTTGGAGGATTTAAGGGTCACATGTTGAAAGCGACCAGAAATGGATAGTTTATACAAGTTACCGAAACATGCCCTGCAAAGTCAAAATTGGAGACGTAGCCGTTGGAGGATGCAAAGCAACAAGGGCATCTACCTCCCTACGAAAAGATCTCAAAAACCTGAAGAAAACAGTTTCCAAGACTCTACTAAGCAGCGGTTGGAGAGAGGATTTACAACGTCCAGGATGGGAATTTCTATCGAAGAGTCGAATCAATACTCGATAGCAGTGGCAAATTTCTCAAATAAGCGTTTCCTCAAATTAGAGACCCCAATAAATCCACACCAGGTGGTATATCTTAGCTTCCTGCTTAAAACATGGCATGACATACCCGGAAGATAGAACAGAGGCCATCTACACGTGCCAGGTGGGCATTGCGTACCATGCGCATACTGACTAGTACAAAACATGATCCTCAAATAGGTACATTTTCCTGCAGCCCTGCCATAGATTGCCATAGCTAAAACGGTCTCACTTTGAGTAACCATGGGTCCCATGGGTACTAATTTCAGTGAGTCATCCCCCGAAGAGTGAACAGCATCCCAGAAAACTGTTGGTCCAGTGGATTTAAGTGTCTATTTTTGCGGATCTATGTTTTTGGGGGGTGAAGGTTTGGAAAAAGGAGGTGTCCTGAATATTATTGCTGGGATGTGAATTCCTGTAATTACCCCATGAAATGTCAGAGGTTAGCAACGCATCGTGGCAACTGGGTAAGAGCCTTGCAGGCCCCGAATTCATCTGAACCACCCGTCTAGGAGGTGCCCCTTCGATCCCCTTTGTTTCGGAAACCATGGCAGGTGCTCCCAAATGGTCAGGGGGCAGGCGATCCGGGATGGGCTCAGTTTTGAATCGGAGTGCCAATCAGCTAATTTTATTGAGGCTTGGCAGGTGGATAGACAAGTAGGCAAGTGGTTGGTATATAATGGTATATATATATAATATATATATATTTATGCATTTTTGGGTAGGTAGTCATCTTGAAAGATTTCAGTTTTCAGAATGTTTTCTTGTCATTTTTTTTGCTCTTAATTTATGTTCTATCCACACCAGGGGGAGGACTCTGATGACAATCCTCGTTGGTGAGTGGCTGCAAGCCACGCCCACTAAATTCCTGATCTACAACTGGGATAGTCGCCCTATTACGTTTTTGGTGGGTTTGTCCAATTTGTCCAACACGGTGGGATACCCTCTGGTAAACTAACATAGCAACATAGCTGTAGAAAATCACCACCTTTTATATAGTAGGTAAATCAACCTTAACCTTAAATAAATTGGCATTTCCAATAGCAAACTATTAAATATTGAGTTACTGGATGGCACTAAAGTGTCTTTTGATTTGGATAAAGTGGTGACAAGCCATGCGATTTCTGAAGGCCCTGGCCCCCGCCAGAAGAGTTTGAGGACAGGGTTGGGGCCAGGGGTTCTAGTGGGTCCATCGACTTGGAGACTTGGAACATCAAGAAGCACAAAAAGAAGGCAACAGGGCTGATGGATCATGGAGTTTCATAGTTTCATAGTGTGCCTGAAGGCAACTCAAAATCATTCTGATGTTCAATGGATTGGTTTAAGGGAACATCTTAACCGGAAACCATAGATTTTCCCATTAAATATGGGGCTTGAACCAGTAAATTTTCCCTGAAGATCCTGAAGCCAATCCATTGAGATGTGACCTGGGATGAGATGGGATGATAGCTGGGTAGGAGTCGCCACCCAAGATGTCCGCCAAGTCGATGCAGTGGCCTGGAACCGTGCGAACAGCACCTGGGACCCCAAACCCGCGCGGTGGTGATGTGCCGGTTGTTGAGCTCCGGGGTTGTGCTCCCAGTCGACATGTTCGTTGCCTAATGGAGTTGGTTCAAAATGCCTCCAAGATGAACGTCGACGTAGTTTTGGCTCAGACTCCCCACTTTCTACTCTTCCCGCATCTTCCCGCATCCCACCTGAAACCTTTTGTATCCACCATTATAGTGGTGTAGTGGATCTATAAACCACTATTGACCCAATAGATCCCATTATAATCCCATTAATGGAATTACACAGGTGGGAGAATGGGATAATAATCCACTATTAACCACCATTAACCACTATTAACCATTATTAACCACTATTAACCACTATTAACCACTATTAACCCAATATTAACCCAATAGATCCCATAATTTTCCGACCAAAAAACCTCAGGGATTTTCGGACCTCAGGTGGTCTATACACAGGTGGGTGCCTCCATCAAAGAGACCGTGCGCGGTCTCTCGCGGCAGATCGAAGTTTTGGGCACCGTGCCGCGGGCGCGAAACGTGGGGCCGGGAGGGGGATAGAGAAGTGATGGAAACTGTGGAAAGATATATGGTTAATATATGGTTAATATATGGTTAATCTTAAAGGATATGGTTAATATATGGTTCAGATGATTGGATTAATTAAGTAAATCTAGTAAGTTTCCTACTGTATCAGTCTAAGTCATCGACAAATCATCGACAAATCAAAAAAAAGCTACTCAATCATTAATAGATCATTTATAAATTTATAAATCATCTAATATCTAAAATTGTCAGACAAAAATAGCACATTTCTATCCTTTTCGGAGCCACCTAAAACACACCACTCGTGTTTATGGCTTGTGGATGGTTGTGGCTGGGGGACAATCCCACGTTGATCTCCGAAACTTGATCCATGGGACTGGGAAAGTCTGGAATGTCCTTGGGGAATGCCTAAAATGACTTCACATTAATAGATGCTGAAGATTGAAATTTGGGGTTGACAATGGACCAAACCAAAACGGGGTGATCTGTGGCATATTGTATATAGTACATTATAGTACTATATATATATATATACATATCCAGGTTTGACCACTGGTTATCCAAAAAGGTGGAGATGATGAAGGTGGGACAATCCGCTGATCAACTCGAGCAATATGTTCGAGGTTGGGAAACATAGGCAGGTGTCAGTGGAAAAATGCCTGATAAAGCCACAACATTTCTTCTAAATTATGCAAGCAACTGACAGGAATTCGACTGGGATGGCCCCTGAAGTCATGATCCGTTCTTGCCCTCAGTAACGGCTGGTTGTCTTTGTTTATGATGGTTGCAGAGTTGAATGACCCATTGACTTGCATTAGATTCTAACCTCATCAGGTCCTGATTGGTGGTTCCCACATGCAACCAATCTTTGACAACTTTCTATGTTATCACCCCACTAAAAAGCATAGAAAAACTAGTTTGCCACTATGTCAGAATTGTTTTTTTTTTTTCCCCTACCCTCTGGTAATCTAACATAACTAATATAACTATGGAAAGATCCACCATTTTCAATGGGTAAATCCACTATTTCTATGGGCCATCTATACCATAGCTATGTTAAAAGATTGGACCTTTACGGATCTAAGGACTCCGCGAAGCTGCGCGCCATGGTACCTGGCTCGCCGGTTTGATAAAATTTTGACAGACGGCGGAGTTCGGGGAAATCCAATAGAAATGGGAGTTTTTACAGGGGTTGGTAACTGTCCCATTTTGGGAATATTGGACATCACCCTATAGTAGCCATTATAGACCATATACCTAGTGGTTGGGTGATGTTCAATGGGGACATTTAATGACCCATGTTTTATTGGCTTTGAAAATGGGAACATCATCTATAAATCAGAAGATTTTCCATCAACAATAGGGGATGTTCCATCATAAATCAGGGAATTTTCCATAGTTACCCTATAAAAAACAGGGGATTTTCCGTTGCAATGAATAACTAAAATCTACTAAAATCAACAAATAAAACAGAGCCTGACTTAAACTGCAGAAGTCCTTGAAGTGAATTTTCAGGTGGTGTAAAGTAGGACGATGGACGTATCTTTGAAGCTGTTTCCTTGAGCAAACTACCACAAGTCCCAGTGTTCCAGGAATGATCCCAGAAGATCGACATTTGTCACCCAACAGCATCCAGCAGCAACATATTGTTGGTTGTACCATAAGATGAAGTATGGCATAAATTATATACTACCTCTGCATGGATATTATATATATTATATATATGAAACATATCACATATCACACACGGCAAACACACACACACATATATATAATATACTATATACATATTACACGTATGGATATCTACATCCATCTATATATGGTTCTAGGATCTCATGATCTTTTTTCTAACATCCAGATTTAACATCCGTTTTTTTTTTGTGCATCCTGAGGTGATCTATCGCTGCCGATCCTTGGGTTATAGCAGCCTCTTCATGCTGGAACGAGCCTGTGACCTTTTGCTGCGGGTGCAGGCGCCGAATCGCGCCGAGTGCGGCCGTAAGGGGCCTCCCTTGTTGGGTGAGGACAAAATGGATGGGTTATAATGGAAAATCCTATTCAAATGGACGATTTGGGGGTACCCCTATTTTAGGAAATGCCCATTTTTGGACAAATCCAAGTGGCTGTTTAAAGTGAATCTCTGCTGATCCATTTTACTATAGTGTTCCTGGTGGTGAAGTCCGCAACCTTGATCCATTTTCTGAAGGATCCTCCTTTCCTGTTTCCTCCTTGCATCTCCAATTGAGAGGCGCCAGAAACCTTCATCTCAGTTGTTGAAGTTTGTTGATGCATTTTTTGGAGTGATTTTTCTTTGTTCCATGCTGATAGTTCATGATTTTTGAACCCATCTCCCACCAACACCCATGACAAAGCTATGTATTTGGAGATACCCCCTAGAGATTGGGTTAAACTCATTATACTCCAAATGGTTCAACATCACTTTTTCCAACTTTTGAACATTTCTCCAAGCTGTTTTCACCGCCTCCCCGTGGTCCCCGTGGCGGAAAAGGCCCCGAGGCCCCGCCTCCCAGGCTGCGCAGAGCTGTGCAGGGCTCCGATGTTTTGCAACGATGCTACCGTCGCAGCTGTCGCCTCTGAAGTTGTCGCTGGCACCGTGGCGACGGCGACAGGGGGATGGTGGGCGGATGGGATACCGGGAGATCCTCCGCGAATTCGGATATAAGTGATACATATTGATGATGATGATGATGATGATGATAAATAAATAAATGAATGAATGAATAAATAAATGAATGAATGAATGAATAAATTAATAAATAAATAAGTATATATATATAAATATAATGGGATAATAGGATTGTAACATGATTTAACCAAGAACAACGGGCATTTATAGGGATATAATGGGATCTATTTTGATGATTGCTTGATGTTTTACTGTAGGTTATCTCTTGTTTTTGACAAATGATATTTAGAATAGGGAATTAGTCAACTAACGATAGGGATTCAACCAACTAGTTCAAATGACATATGTATATATATGTATATATATATAGATAGAGAGACATATGTAATCAACGATGCATAGTTGGCCGTGGTTTTAACAGTTTTTTAATTTTCAACGATAGCAATAGGATGATGATCCCAACTGACGGGTGCATCACAGCTACGATATGTTTAATGTTTAATTATTGATATTTTTTGATATTTTGATACATTCAGGGTGGTTTTCCAGAGGAAGACTGGCATTAAACACATATTTTATCATGTTTTGATAACCTCCAGGTGCTTATCCGTTGTAAGCGTTAGGACCTGTGTAGAATTGCTGGGGGTTTCATTAATCGAAACGCGCCCGTTTTGTCGTCCCAGGAAGGACGACGGAGGATGCTGCTGGAGAGTGACGGCACGCTGCAGAGCATTTTACACATCCCGCAGGTGGAGGAGGTCCGATAGTCCAAGTGGCTCCGCAGGTGGCTACTCAAAACCAATTACACAGAGAGAGAGAGAGAGATATATATATATACACATGTGTAATAACACACAAACACACATATATGTATACATGTATATATATATATATATGTATATATATATGTATATATATATATATCCTTTGGTAAACTTATTTATAGATGATTTCCAGTATTTTTGAAGTACCATTTTCGTTTCTGCATGTGCCATGGCAAAAGAGTGGCACGCGGCCTGTGCCATGTACGACTCCAATGGGATCCTGGGAGGATCATCGAAGGTAAGGAAGTCCCTCCCGGGGAATGGTCATTTGGAGGGTGCAACATGCGATGTTGTCGGAGGATGTACATTTCCCAATTTGCACTAGGATGATAGGATATGATAGGCTGATAGCCAAAGGTCGGCCTGGTGACCTAGGTAACGGTTGATCGATATCTATCAATTTGCCGGTTTGCTTCGAAAGGTTCGTGGTCCCTTTTTTTTTGCGCCACATGTATTCTTTATACACATCCATGCATGTTTTGAAACTATCTCTGCATTCAAATTTTCTGAACATGTTTATCCTCTGGTAATTTAACATAGCTATTGAAAATGGCTATTTATAGTGGATTTTCCCATTTAAAATTGTGTTTTTCCATAGCTATGTTAGTTTACCAGAGGGTATCCTCCCAATGTGTTTCCCTATGTGGCTGGCTAAGTGCCACATGATCCCGTTCCAGGTGTTATACCTCCGTGGCACGGAATGCCCCAGCATTGGACGCCACGTGCGGGATTGCGAGGCTTCACCGGAAACGATTGGGTGAACAGCAAACAATGGGGGTAGAATGGTCATTGAATGGTCATGATATAGTAGACAATGCCGAAACGGGGCATCGGATCATCAAAAGCAGATTGGGGATTTAAACAGCAAAACATCAGGGTTTAAGTATACTAAGTATACCTTTAGTTTCGATAGTTTCGACCTGTGGAGTTGCAGGGGTAAATTCAATAGCAGCGGAAGTCATAAACGTTGATCTCTGCATACTGTTGATCATCTCATCTCATTTTGAGGAGCATCCGATCTTCACCCCGCCGTCACCCTCAGCAACAGGGGCACGTGCTGTGGCAAACTCATGCCTGATTCGACTGGCAGTTGAAAAACCCATCTCCCAACAAATGCTGATCACAACGACTATCATCCACTATTAATGTTGCGGGCTAATTGATTGACCCATCCGACTACAGATTGCACATAATCCCTATCAGTAGCTGTAGCTAGTCCAGTGTCTTTTTTCGGCCATCCTGGAGTAGACAGAATATGGAAGCATCAATAAATCATTATCACCCAAATCATTCTATATTCAAAAAACTCTATTTTTGTATGATATATGATATATACATATATATATATATGATATATATATATGATATATGATATATATATATATATATGATATATGATAATCATCACCCTAATAGCAATGTTGGAACATTCCATACTCGGAACTCATCTTGGATCGACGGACGGGCATCTCCAGGTCTCCATGCCCGAACCTTTCGCGCAGATCATGCAGGCACCGACCGAATGCTGCAAAAATAGGGGATGTTTTTTGGGGATAAATGGACATTACCCTCTGGTAAACTAACATAACTATTGAACATCACAATTTTTAATGGGTAAATCCACTATTTCAATGGCCATTTTCAATAGCTATGTTAGTTTACCAGAGGGTAGTTGAGGAATGTCGGAGACTTATTATGTATGATATATTTACCATATGGGTGATGGTTCACAATGATAAGTTGTAAATGACCTGTGGATAGTCAGCACATGGTTGCCTAGCTAAATGGCTGTGTGAGAAGATTTATGCGCAACACAATTTTCATAGGCTGGTTCAGACAATCATTTTCCCTATTAAAATCTATTGAATTTATTCAACATCACCACAAATTGGGGCCGTGCACCCAATATTCAGACAAATGAACACGATCCATTCAGACGTTTTGCCTGAAACGGCAGTTTTGCATTAGCAAATTATGGTGAATCGCCCCAAAAAGGGGGATACTTCACCTCGACGTAGCGAAAAAAACATCTAGCAGTGGTCCAATGGTAAGCAGAGGGGATCGAAGCTCCAAAACCGATGTGTCAGAATGGTGATTCTGGTGTCGAATTCGGCGAAATCTGGCGAACTTCGCCATTTTGGATGCATTGGATACCCTCTGGTAAACTAACATAACTATGGAAAATCACCATTTTTCATGGGAAAATCCACTATAACTGGCCATTTTCAATAGCTATTTTGACATAACCAGAGGGTACATCATATGATCTTCCTGGCAGCCAGAACTGACTAAACCTCGGTTGGATCCACAGAAATCGACTCCTTGGTGATTTCCTGGTGCTAAACGTAGGGTTGCTGGGGGTTGCTGGGATGATTACCAGTGATGAACTGGATATAACTGGATCATTCCCGAAAATTCCCTGCGTAAAACGCACCAGTGAGTTTCAAAGATCTGCATCTCAATGGGCTGCTGACCCACCATCCATCCGTAATTTCTTCTTCGCGACGTGTCGCGAGAGTCAGGTGGAAGAAGCGGCACGGAATGTCATCCCCCATGATCATCCAGTCTTGCCGCCACAGATAGCAACGTGGGCAGCAAAACATGGGGCTGAGATGGTGATGATGGTGACGAGCATTTTTTTTCGGCCATTCCCTATACAGAAATGGAAGAGCATCTTAGCTATGGTGAAGTTCTGGATTTTAATCACGACTAAGTGGTTCCATCATCATTCCATCATCATGTTCATCATCATGTTCATCATCATGTTCTCCATGAAATCACCATTTTGAATTAGTATTAATAATACCATGATGAAGTATCAGGGTGCCTCCAGATAACAAGCATCATCACTTGATGCTAATCACCATTTTGGGGGGATTCATGAAGGTAACCACACACCGGTGTTCCGAGTTGGGTGCCACCGACCGGAGGTCGTGGGGAGTTCGACCTCTGCCTGGGCACATCCAACCGTGGAGATCGCCTTCACAGGCGGTTAGCCAAGCGAAAGCGATCTGAACTTGGCTGGACATGGTAGGATCATAGGATATTGGTCCAACTGGTTGGAAAACCATAGGAAAACCATAGGAAAATGGGAACATCATAGGAAAACGATAGGAAAATGGAGGTTTACCCTCTGGTAAATTAACAGTTGGACCCTGAAAATCACCAATTTTTAGAGGTTTCACTAATCTTCCAACCCCAACAACTACCAGGGTCTATGTTAATTTACTGGAGGGTAATGTATAATGTATATTATAGGTAGGAAACTCATGTGGATATTTTTAAAATTTTTTAACCAATGTCATTTTTTGTTGGGCCAGCTATCTGTGGATATGGCTCAAAATTATTGACCCCGAAAAACTGCATGGTGTCTCATACAAACTCATACAAACAATCCTTCAAACAACAGATCCATTGATTCAGGGCCGAGTTGTGCCCCCATGTGGTTTGTTTAAACTAGAGTTTCCCCTCTTCACACAGAATATCACCATTTTTCGCCAGGTAGCGGCACACGGGAGCCAAAAAACAGGCAAACATATTGTTTTGATCAGTTTTGGTTGTAGCTTTTCTATGCTTTTCTGATTTTATGCCCTTTGATTTGGATTTGAATGGAGAAGATCATGATGAACTTTTTATTGGGGGCTTTCATTGAAATTTCAGACAAACCCATTTACCCTCTGGTAATTTAACATAGCTATGGAAAATCACCATTTTTAATGGGAAAATCCACTATAAATGGTCATTTTCAATAGCTATTTTGACATAACCAGAGGGTAGTTGCCCCTCATTGTTCGCATCTCCAAGTCCCTGCGCAGGCACCGCCGTATCCACCATGCTCCTTTTGCGTGAGATTTGTGCCATCACAGCTCTGGCGATGTCTCCTGGCAGTCGCTGGTAGGGGCCCTGTACCACACTCTCAGCCACCTACCTGGCGATATCATGACCCCACTGAGAGTGGCGTTAAACATGCGTTAGTTAGATTCAGTACCCTCTTTAGAGACAGTCATCCCATCTTTAGCGGATTCGTTGTCTTGGGCACAGAAGCCCAAGGTAGAGTCATGACCATGGCCTGAGGATAGGGAAACAGCCGCTGTGGGTTTTCCAGAGGTTCAGCTGGTCATAGCATGCCGAAGAGTGTAGGCAGCCTTCAAACTGCTCAGTTGAACACCAGGGTTTGAGCCACACCAAGGTTCTCTGCCAGTATGTCAGGAGACGAAATCCTGTTGCTTCAAGCATTGCACGCTGTGGAGGTTGTGGAATCCGATCGAACGGTCCGACGTTCCACAAAGGAGTTGCACCTGAACATAACACATGCGGAATCAACAACAGGTGGAAGAACTCAAAAGGTTTCTCCATTACAGGAACCATAGGAATAGGAACCATAGGAACCAAGGGGAACCAAGGGGAACCATAGGAACCATAGGAATCTGAATGCCAGCATGAATACAGGAACCATAGGAACCCACGTGGCTCCCTGGAACCCCTGGGAACTGAGCGCAGAGGCCGCCTGGGGCAACAAAGCTCAACGTGCAGCTGCAGAGCATGTGCTTCTTGGCCGCACCACTTGTGGCTCGCGCAAGGCCCATGTGGTCCTGGCCTCGACTCTCTATGATTCTCGATGATTCAAAAGATCAATGACCAGTTATGACCAGTTATGACCAGTTATGGCAGCATTCAGATCTCGAGATTTGAAGCAAACTGCCACACTTGCCATACACTTGCCATACAGTTGCGCAGGCTCTCGCAGTCGATGCTGGACACGGCGCAGATCGATAGCTGCGAGCGGCATCCGAAGACGCGGGGCCTGGAGCAACGGACCTGGGACGCGTTGGAACACGCTCCTCGGCCGAATTGTTCCCAGTGCAGGACACGATGATATCCGCAATCATGTTGAACTCTGGATATTTATATTGATGTTTATTTTTTTGTTATGTATGACATATTTTAGTTTCCATATTGTTTGTTAATATCTATATATAATTATATATATATATATATAGATATAAATTATATATATCTCTCTTTCTCTCATGTACATATATATATATATTTGTTATTATATACTAAAGTCTATATATGTCTATATTGTGCACACAGTATTCACACTTGATTGTATCTATTGGCACGGATCCAAATGTAGAAACACGCACGTTTCCGCACGTTTGTGAACCTAGGGGCTACCTGAACCGGTCACAATGAAGCCTTATGACTGGGATGTAGTTGCAACAGTAGCTCCACTGACCAGAAAACCAACTGGTAATTTGTTACATAGCTATTGAAAATGGTCCATTTATAGTGGATTTACCCATTGAAAATGGTGATTTTCCATAGTTATGTTAAATTACCAGAGGGTATCAATTTGGGTGTCATTGGAAAATCACCATTTTAACGGGAAAACTCACTATTTCTATGGCCATTTTCAATAGCCATGTTAGTTTACCAGAGGGTAATCTTCTTATTTTCAGGCAAATCTATATGAGCAGAGTTTTTTAAAACCCTATACCCTATGTCGTTTGTCTGGTAGTTACCTTCCCAAAGCTTTCCAGTTTCAGTTTGTCTGGTCTCCAGCGCGTTGTAGCTCCGGCGCTTTTTGTACCCTGATGGATCCCATCCTAATGATGTGGCTAGCGCGACCGAGGGCAACCACACCAGGAATGATCGAAATTACAGGTTAGGGATCCCCAAAATGGTCCAACAAATCTGGTTTGGGGATGTTTGGGACATTGATTATGAATTGCACGTATATTTTGCAGCATGACGACCTAGGAGAGGAAGAACACACCAGTGTTTTGATCATAGATTCTGCTCAATTACTCCTTTGCAGCTGTGCCATGAAGCGTAAAGCCGTGAGCGGCCAGGTGGCAGACAGTTCCATCGAACTTGAGGTCTCCTTGCCAAGTGGACGGTTTGAAACAGTTGCAGTCCATTAGTCTGGCATGGTGACCTGAAAATTGCTGCACAACTCTCTTTAGGGCAAGCTTTCCTCAGGCTTGCTGCACCTGATGCCTTTTAGATCCGACTCTCTTCAACTCTGTGGGGTTCAAGATGGAGACAGCCTTACTGCTGTTGCACAGCAGCCAAAAATGGCTGCAACTTGGGGTGCATTTGCTTTGTGGTGTGTCGGAGGTGGCAGGGTCGTCAGGTGGGGCAAGGCACACAGTGGTGGTGACAGCTCCAGCGTCCAAGATAACTTGAAGAATGTACAGCAGATTTGTGGCACCAGCGCTGCTTTTGCTGCAGTTTTGGTAGATGAAACCGTAGTGACCTGGGGCAATCCAGACCGCGCTGGCGAAAGCTCCAAAGTCCAACATCAGCTCATGAGTGTCCAGCGGATTTGTGGCACAGACCGTGCCTAATTGCTGCGAATTGGCAGATGGAAGCGTGCTGACTGATTTGGGCAATCTGCGGTGGTTTTATAGCGCCGAAGTCCAGGATAATTTCAGTGACATGTAGGCGCATGTTCTGGAAAGAAAATGAACATGTTGCCAACTCGTCATTTGCAGTTTCTTTTTCCACATTATAAGTTATAAATCATTACGAACATTTATGAACATTATACATCACACATCATCACACAATGATTTCGTTTATCACGGAACAACATGGACCAGTATGGAACATAAAATTCCATGGCTTCAGCACCTCTCCCTGTTGCCCGTTGGCTTTCTACAGGTTCGTGCTGACTTTCTACACCTCGAAGCGCAGGTCAAAGGGCTGAAGGAAGAGCGCTTCCAGGTGCACGTTGGAATTTCCGGAGACCCTTGGAATTTCACACAGATACCATATGAATGATATGATGATGGATGAATATGTTTAGGATCTATGGTTAAACAGAATGAAACAGATCATTTAAGAGAAAACGTGTATATAAATGCGTATGAGAACATGAGAAAACATACTCTAGGTATGCAGATGCAGATGCAATCATTTGCCATATTTACATTCTTTTTTTTCGACATCAAATGACAAGCGGTGCAGGTGAAGCCGGTGTTGCAGCTCCTTCGCCAGCAGCATCGCTTCCTGAAGCTGGGAGCGCTGGTCCCGCGGCGTCATCGACAAATGGTGGGTGTTTGCACCACATCTACCCTCTGGCTATGACTCACAGTTCGCCATGGAAAGATCCACCATGCTATTAAGAACGGTAAACCATCTATTTCTATGGGCCATCGAAAAACCATGGCGAACTGTTAAATAGCCAGATGGTATCTGAGTTTTTCTGGATATCCATGAATTCATTGGAAAGGAAAGTGTCGAAACGAGCTGAGATAGAACGGGTATGAACGGGTCCCCCTGGGCATGTGACTAGTGAAACCTATTCTTGCAACCCAGATTTAGGTTCCATTTCTATTCTTTTGGATAAGAATAAACTTTTAGAATCTAGAACTGGGATGATGCGGCAGTAGACCTTGTGATTCGGCACGCCCCCAATACGGAACATTTCTTAGTTTGTCGGAGTTGGGGAATCCCAAAACACTCCAAGTTGGTCGCCTCCACATTTAGAAAGTTTGATCCATTTTCTCCAAGTCGCTGCTTGGCTGCTTGGCTTTTCCCCACCTGTTTCGTAAAGGTTTCACGAAGTTTGAGGTACTATGTCGAGAAGCCTGGCATGCGGCGGTGCAAAAGAATTGGCTCCCAGAGGCCAAGGGGAGCAACTTCCAAGGGGGCAGTTTCTTGCAGTTTCCATATCATTTTAGGTGGGGAGATGCCGTGCCATACTGCCAAAAAAGAGGAATGTATTTTTGCCAGGGTTTGCTGGCTTTTTGAAGATTTTGCCTTTCGATCTGTTTCGGACAGCTCTACTGCTTGTGGTTGGTGTTGTTGCCCCAGTCGCACCCTAGTTACATGGTCATACTGTCACGTTCTCACAGTTCTCTGTGCCTTCATCATGTGGTCTCTCATCCGCAGGCCGCTGAACTTCAGAGATGGGCATTGCATTTGGAGGGTTTTCCATTGGAGGGAGGCAGACGCTTGGCAGACCCAACATCATCCATTGTCAACCATCATCCACCATCCAGCACGAGCCTTCTCCTTGGATTTGGTTTGTTTGCGAGGCTGAATAGAACTACATTTAGGTTTCGACCCGGATTTGTGATCAAAGACCTGCCCTACTTGTGCTTCACACTTACAGAGTGCTTCATAATCAAAACTATCCCAAGTTCTATAATATGGACTGCTGAAACCCACTTCCTAAGTGCAGTGCACATGCAAATGCTGCAAAACAACAATACTTCAATCCCCCCAAAGAACGAAGTTCAAAAAATCCTGATCTAAAATACCCTCTGGTAAACGTTTACATGACTATGGAAAGATCCACCATTTTCTAGCTGGGAAAATCAACTATTTCTATGGCAATTTTCAATAGCTATGTGGGTTTACCAGAGGGTAGTGGATCCATTCAGGATGGTGCCCCCCAGTTATAAGTTGGTTTATAAACCCCATGAAAACTATAGTTATATCTACCATAAACCATAGTGAAATGGGAGTTATTTGCACCAACTTAGCTAACTATGGGGCACCACCTTGTTACGTGTTAATTGTTTGCTTCGGGGCTTACTCTGCAGAGACTATACATACCAGCGAATTTTCAGGTCGGTTGGCCTTGGCCGCCAGTGCGATGCCAGAGATGATTGGGATGCCACAAAAAGAGCCCCTTGGACATAGCCTGGTGGAAATCGATCCATGCTTCAAATGTATTGGATCAATGTGGAAAATGAACTTTAGACCAATATGATAATATGATAATAATATGGATTTATTTTCCACAGCACCAAATGGACATGATCTAAATTGATCATTAACTTTGAATATCAATGGATTGATCTAAGGGAAACAACTCACCACCGGAAACCCATGGGATGGATTGCTATCAATCCATCTGGAAGATGTTTTGCATATGTTTGTTTTCTCTGATTTGTTTGGGATTCTCGGCTGCCTAAAAGGATAGCATCTACAGTAATATAATCTAATATATATATATAATTATATATATATATATACATAGCAAGGTGTTCCAGGACGCTATAGATTTTCCCTTTGACCACCTTTCATCCCATTTTCATCCCATTTTCATCCCATTTTCATCCCATTTTCATCCCATTTTCATCCCATTTTCATCCCTTTTCATCCCATTTTCATCCCATTTTCATCCCATTTTCATCCCATTTTCATCCCATTTTCATCCCATTTTCCATAGATTTCCAATTTTCCCGTCATTTCCTCTCGATTCTGTTGCCATCTTCCGAATTCACTGAGATCACCCTGAGGTTTCCCTCGTTGACGGAGGTGATGGCAGGTGCGAACGTGGCCAGCTACCAGAGGGATGATTTCTGGATGATTTCTGGTGCCAAATTCATGGGCCATCTATGCCATAGCAAACGCTTAGTCATTCCATGTCATTCCCATATCCTCGAAACTCATCATGATTCACCATCAACATCATCAACCATTAACCAAATATTAACCATGACTTTCCCATTCTCCCATTTTAACCAGGTCAGGAGGAGTCCGATCCAGCGCCCATCACGGACTTTGAAGGTCTGGCGGATGAGGCCCGAAAAAACCCCAGGTTGGCATTGGGTATGTCCTACTGGGATGATGCAAAATGAGCCGAAAAATGGTTGGTTCATGGGTTGCTTTGTGGCATTTGGATGCACGTGTTTTTTTTTCCCTAAATAGCCTCTGGTTATGACTAACATAGCCATGGTATATATGGCCCATTTACCCTCTGGTAAACGTTTACATAACTATGGAAAGATCCACCATTTTATAGCTGGGTAAATCCACTATAAATCACCATTTTTTATAGCTTTTTGTATGTTTACCAGAGGGTAAGTCATCATTTTCCTATGGTTTTCCTATGGTTTTCCCATTAAAACCTCCATTTTCCTATGGTTTTCCTATGGTATAGATGATAAACTCTAACTAGCCTTCAGCAAGTCGTAGCCAGAAGCGGCTGCAGATCCTGACAGAGGCCCTGGAGCGTTTGTGGATGTCCTCGCCCACGGGTCGCGCACCCTTTCCGGCAGATTTGGGGCTGGAGGATGAGATCAAACAAGCCGAGGTGGAACTCCTGGGGTTGGAAGTGTGGGAAGGGGTTACCCAATACATGAGCTATGACTGTAGAATATTAGAGGAGCTGAAATCTAGACATCTATCTATACATCTGCACATCTATGTATCTACATATCTATATTTACATATTTCTATCTATCTATCTATCTATTTATCTATCTATCTATCTAATTAATCTATCTATCCAATTAATCTATCTATCTATCTATCTAATCTAAATCTAAATCTAAATCTAAATCTAAATCTAATCTAATCTAATCTAATCTAATCTATCTATCTAATTAATCTATCTATCTAATTAATCTATCTATCTAATTAATCTATCTATCTATCTATCTATCTATCTATATATATATCTATCTATACATGTGGAAGTGAACAAGGATAACTCCATAGAGGTTTCACCGGAGCTTGGCGCCGCTTTGGAGCTGATTTCCAAGCCAAGCTGGCAGACATTTTCCCCGTTTTGGTAATAGAAAAACCATAGGAAAATGGGAAAATCATAGGAACACCATAGGAAAATGGAGGTTTATATTCACCTACCCTCTGGTAAACTCACATAATAGAAAATCACCATTTTGAATGGGTAAATCAACTATGATATGTATAAATGGGGTATTTTTAATAGCTATGTTAAATTGCCAGAGGGTAATGGACCTCAATGTGGCAATATCTCAACAATAAATGGTAAACCATGGTAAACCCAATGCCAAAAGTATCCAATTTTGAAGGGTCTCCAAACTCTGGGTCATTGAGAATAGCTCATGATTGGGGGACTAACACATTATATCCATTTATCGGAGCTTCCGCTGGAGGGCAGTGCATGTTGCAAGGCCTGTTTGCTCCCAGCCTTCAAGCCAGAAGACTGAGCCTGGGCTTGGAACGTCTTGAAGTCTTGGAACTATTTCCATAGTGTCAGGAGGATTATATACTATTGTAATCTATTCTATGAGTCTCTAACAAGGATGACTTCGCTGATTTATATCTACCGTTTGAATTTAAATAAATAAATAAATAAATACATATTTGGTGTCAGGGTTGGTAGCACAATCACGACTTTAGGTACGGTTCGATATGTTGAGGGCTGAGGACCTTGATCCAACCATCCACAAACTCCCCCAGAGCTGCTCAGCCGAGGCCCTCATTTACATCCACTCTTCCATGCCTTGTGCTTGCATTTTGCCGCGCCCTATGATGAAACACCCTTTTCGAACTCAGGCTCCGACGGCCCGTCGGATGGGCCCAATTTTGGGCCCAGGTAGGATGTTCATTTGCCAAAAGGTCCATCACCGAAAACGTGCGATTACCGGATTCTTGAGCGAAAATTCCATGAACATAGCCAACATAGGTGAGTTGGATTTGGACCTCACCAAATCCCCAAGAATGGATGATTATGGATGATTGATGAGGTTCCTTCCCCAATTCACCTTCTTTATGTAGGTGAATTCATATCCACCTCCAGTCAAAATCTCCGAAGAGAGTTTCTGCGGGGTGTTTATCATCGAGGGAACATAAAAAACAATCCCATTGATGATTTTCTTATATTTTCTTACAGAATTACGGGGAATGGATGAGTCTGGGCAAAGTAAACCAACCCCACATCAACCTCAAAATTCCCTGAGCTGGATGAAAGGAACATTTGCAGGAGCCACCGAATATAATTGGGTGATAAACAAGCATGGTTTCCTGTAGCTTGTCCTTTGGAAGTGAATCCATCGATTCACTAAATCCATTCTTCATGTTGTGAAAATCTTCTATGTTTCACGGTCCGATCATGGTTAGATCATGGTTAGATCATGTTTAGATCATGGTTAGATCATGGTTAGATCATGATTAGATCATGTAAAACTCCTCATTTTGGATGGTTTCATCCGTTTCATCCACCATTTTTCTCCCTTTACGACACCCAAAACAACACCTTTTGCGCAGGCGACGTGCCAGCCTTTCTTCCGCTGAACCTGGGCCGTGGCTCGGCGGCTGTACGTCTGAAAAAAGTAGCGTTTATTTTTCCACAGCAAACTGTGAAAAATTAACAAAGGGTTTTTCATCATTTTCCCCGTGATATATGGGGATGGGTCAAAACCTATTAGTATCAATTTTAATGGGATGAACATCCATTTACCAGCTGTTTTGTGGTTCACTAGGTACCAGGGTTATGACTCATAGCCATATATCATGATGATGATTCCATATGATTCCCATTCAAAAAATGTTTCCATTATCATAAATATTCCCTAAAATCACCACGATGTTAAAAATCTGGTTCAATCCACGTTTTCCATGATTTTGTCCTGGTTCAATCCATCCATCTTCCCAGTAAAACGCCATGGATCGCAGCTCGCTTCGCTTCGCTCAGGCAGCTCCGAGCTGCCACGCGTGCCACGCGCCATGTGTCGCGCCCTGCTGATGCTGCCGGGCAAGATGCGACGACAAGTGGCCGATATCCACCTCCGTACGCCCTGCACGGGTCAAGATGGGTCAAGCCAACTGGATCAGTGGAAAGCCCCAGTTTTTTTTTGAGGGATATGTGTGCATAGGTCTATATGGTTTAGTATGTTTTAGTATGGTTTACAGTTTTTTTTTTGAATGTTTTGTAACGTGTTTTTTCTTTTAAATAAATAAATGGTTTTGCATTTTTTCCCTTAATGCTTTGGTCATGTTTAGTATGGTTTAGCAATGTTTAGTATGGTTTTAGTCTACAAGCATGGGGCTTCAGCCCTTTGCAATCTTCAGTGGCCCCGTCCCATTCCCATCAAGATTTAGCCCAACATGGAGGGTTTTGGCCAAATTTGGGATTTGAAGTCGGAAAGATGAGGATACTCAGGGCCTCCGGTTGGAACTGGGACGCGTGAGCTGGGCTTATCCCGTTGAAGATGAATTAAGTCAAGTGGATAAACTAACCAGAATCCTTGACCAGTTCCTCAGTTGGGGTGGATCTTGCCGAGGGCTTCCCCCATGCCATGCCAGGGATGGAGATGGAATGTGACCTCTTGGGCAAGGGTGGGAAAGCCCAGCCTGTTGTTCCACATGGTTCCAGGATTCAGGCCTCTGGTTTTTCCAGATCCATTTGGTAGAAATCTGTCCCAAGATTTTGTATTATCCTTTGAGGAGAGGGTCCGCAGTTAAACTGTGTCCAAACTTGATCTTGTGCAGTTCCGGGCCCAAGACTTTTTGAAGCCTGTTTTTTGGAAAGGGCAGTGTTTTTCTTCATCACCTCCCGCAATCCTTGTCACCCTCTTCTTATTTGTTCCCATCCCAATGACATAATTTCCCCTAGGTTAGTTGTGAAGTATTCAGTGCTAGGGAGGGTTAGTACAACGAGTCACATGACTTTCATGGTTCTTCTTCTTCTTCTTCTCCTCCTCCTCCTCACTACTTGCTACAATCTAATGATCATCTAAGATCTATGATCATCTATCATCATCATCTATCATCATCTATCATCATCTATCATCATCTATCATCCATCTAAGATCTATCATCATCATTCATCATCTATCATCCATCATTTTTCATGGCTTTCTTATTTATATAACCCCCGTTAACCCCATCGTCATCCCACCGCCTCGCCGCCAAGCGCCTCGCCAAGGTGGCACGGACCCCGAGCTGCTCGAGGAGACCGAGACCTTGGTCCAGACGCGCTACGCCGTGCAGCGACTCCGGGAGATGGCCACCACGTGCAGCGGCCGAGGATTTTTTGGGGACCTGGATTGACCCCATGATTTTCCCTATGGAAATCTATGAAAATCCCATGGGATTTCGCCCAAATTCCATGATCCGATGAGATCATCTAGATAGATTTCAGCAACGAAAATCGTTTGAATTTGGCATCATAAATGGTATAGGTCTGACAATGATGACAGTATGTCTGGCTTACAACTGGATATAATATGATATAATCACAAATGACAAATGATACCAAATTTATCCAATTATAGGTATATTGACATGGCATATATATTCGACGAACAACTTGATTTATCTGGCATGTCTGAAAATGATGGATTAAAACGTGATTTATGATGATGCATGGCAATTTTTATAGGGAATGTTGGGTTTTACACCATTGGATTTATGGGTTCCCCACTAGCCAGTTACCAGTTGGTGACATGGCAGGGCTGGGTTGTCCCCCGGTCCCCCCCTGTTTATTTGGTTTCGGGGTTCCCCAAAGCAGTGATACATATTAAGCTTGGGCACCTTCCCTGGTTTAATGCTGGTTTACAAAGCGTTGGAGTGCTTCCAGTTATAAGGCAGTTATTCCAACCCAAGTGGCAGATGGGTCCCTTTTGATTGGGGGATTGATAGGCGAATTCGTAGCTGTGCAAAAATGGGAAGCGGACGGAAATAGTGTACATCTCCAAAGTTGGGAACCGCAGGGAATGGATCAACCCTGGAGATTGACGCATCTTTTCCATTGTCCCTTGGGTCATTTTAGTTGTGTAGACGAGATATTGGAAGCAGAGTGCAATAGCCAAGACTGCCAACACATTGGTGCCCCAGGTTCTTAAACATGTCAACGGGCATATCTTGACACGAGGATTCAAATCAACCCATATCAACCCCCTGTTAATAAAGTTCTGAGAAGTGATCCCTTTTGGGATCCCCAAGTTGGCTATACTCAGCTACAAAAAGCGACCAGTTTTGTACGGCGTACCGAGGTTCTTACTGCTGGTGCCTCCAACCCCAACGCCAAAGGGCTTCCGGCAAGCCGAGGCAGCTGGGGGGAACTGCAGGGTCCAGTTGCTGTAACTTGGGGATCCTGGGGAATTTCAGCTTGTCGGTGATACAATCTTTTGCATTGGATTCGATTCTTATGAAGGTGCCACTTTCCAGTTCGTGATGAAGTGGCACTCCTGATAACTGGCATTTGCGCAGCATTGTTGAAGCATTTGAGGGACCACTTGTTTTTGTGCAAAGCACCATCCAGTACCTATCGTGCACTATGAAAATGATCACATCTATGATTTTTTTTAGGGACCATTCATCATCAAAGGTTTCCCCTCTGCTCCCACGCGTTTTGAATCGGTTTGATAGGTAAAATGCATCACCAAAGGGGAGAAGAAAAGGTGAACTTCCCACTTCGGGTGATGGATCCGCTTAGCCACGACTAGTCGCAGGGAATCTGGATCCGCGGGCATCCGACTCTGGTGACTAGCTAAAATGCAGAGAGAAACCCCTCAAAAAAACACATCCCCAAAAATATCCCAACATATCTTAAAATATTCAAAAAAACGCAATGGAGTTCTCTTCTTCAAATGGGCTTTCAGGGAATTCTCACATGTGACCACCCCTGTTTAGGAGCTGCTGGCTCGGGAGCTGCGATGTCGCGAGGAGGAACAGCGGAGGAAGGAGCAACGCGACACGTCTGGGAGCCCGACGGCGCGGCATGGGGCCCTGGGGGTTAGTAAGTTCCTGATTTGCGGATGATCCCAGTGGATGACCCCATGGGTTATAAGATGTTATAAGATGTTCTAAGTTATGAGCCCAGTTGCTAAAGACTTAAGTGACTAAGTGGTTAATAATACTGGTTATATAATGCTGGTTAATAATACTTAAGTGACTGGTGATAGAATACTGGTTAATAACTCTAAGGAACATGACGGTGATGTCAATCCAGTCCCCAGTGGTACCCTGCGGGATTGATCTTGATGCAGGGCCTTAGTGGTGGTGATGATCCTGGGAGGGAGCGAACTGGAGCTTCAAAAAGGGGTAGCCACATTCCTATTTTGCATGGGGAGCCAGTTGGAGCTATTATATACTTGAGTTTTCCAACCGCATGATAGAAGATATTAACACATTCAAAGTATGAGTTTCCATCTATTCCATCATTGAGTTTTCCATTGCTCTACCCCCCCTTTGGACATCTTTGGACCTCCGACTGTGCGGCCCCGGTAAGGAACAATGAAGATGAGCCCCCCGAGGAGATTCTTGCGGGTGCAAGAGACCTACTGATTCTGGACATCTCTGGACGAAGATGAACATCAATCGCAAAACGACTCTAAACATATATATATATAATTAATAGGTAGATAGATAGATAGATAGATAGATAGATAGATAAGATAGATAAGATAGATAAGATAGATAGATAGATAGATAGATGGATGGATGGATGGATGGATGGATGGATGGATGGATAGATAGATAGATAGATAGATATGTATATATTTACATACATACATACATACATACATACATACATACATACATATATATATATGTTATAAATTCATACATAATATACCGTAGATTCCTGTATGCTCCTAGCAACTTTTCCCATTTTTTTTAAAGATAATCTGGAACTTCTCTAGTGCTCCCCAACCTTCCAGTCACTTCAACTTGTACCGCATCGTGATGCCAGGAGCCGGTTGAGGGTTCGCAAAGTGTGGAGCAGCTGAAGGCCAAACAGGTGCGAGTGGGGTGCGGGGCATCAGGCCATGTGAGTTTTGCGCCCAGACATGGCCTGACGAATCAGGTTTTTAAACCACAGAATTTGAGGAATTTGAGGGGTGCCCAAAGGTAATCAGTCACATGGCGTGCTGGAAAATGCCCCCATTGATATAGTTCGATGATTTCCCAAGCTAGAAACCTCCATGACTAGTTCTAGGATTTTCCATTTTGCACTTTCCTGTATCTTTTTTTTGGGGGCTGTAAATGGTACAATACCCAAATGATGAAAACAGCCCCTGGCCTTGAGCCAAAAATTCCCTGGGGCCCTCATCTGTTCAGGTGCTTATTGCCCTGGAAATGGCCATCAAGGCGCTAACCGTGAGATGGGTGGATTGGGCCTTGAAAACCGCAGAAAAAAAATTCGGCTGACCGCAGGAAGTCTCGGGGGGTATGCCAATCATCAGTGGCGTAGCCAAGAACTGTACTGTAGGTGAAACTGCCAGGTATCCCCCAAAAAAGTGGGTTCAAGATTTGGTTTGGATCTATCTCACAATTTTGGAACCCCCTTCCGTCCCACAGGTTGTGATATGTTGTGATGATTTTTCACCATCAAACAGGTTGAGACTAGAACCCTGGTTGATCGGCTCTTGTGCGGGGGTTGTTAACCTACCTGGTTTATTGGGACTACGTACTGACCCAAGCAATGGGAAAATTGGCAACCCAGTACACAACCACGCAGTAAAGGGATGATATGTCGGGTTTAGCAGCCACTGCTCGCCCCTACGTGTGTTGATTCACCATCACCACTCACGAAAAAACATAAACACCGGGTATATTTAGAGGAGACTACGAAACAACAGAATCACCATCAAGGACGCCCACCTATTTGTAGAGGTTGCTGGAGACGCGGCGGCTGCAGCTGAGCGCGCGGCGGAATTTGAAGGCCTCCAATGGTGTGTTTTTATAGTTGTTTTTATTGGTGATAAACGACGAAAACCACCATTTATAGTGGTTTTATAGTCGTTTTATGGTGATAAACGACGAAAAGCACCAGTTGTAGCGGTTTTTATAGTGGGTTTATATTGGTTTTATAGTGATAAACGACGAAAACCACCATTTGGAGTAGCTTTATAGTGACAAACGACGAACACCACCATTTGTAGTGTCTTTTTTTAATAGTTGTTTTACGTTGTTTTATATTGATAAACGATGGAAACCACCATTTACATTGGCTTTTATAGTCGTTTTATGGTGATAATACCCTGTTTTTTGAATAGTTAATTATCGTAATTTGTTTAGCTAATTATCGTTATAGTTGTTGGTTTATACCACATGCAACCACCACTACATAGATAGACTTTGCATAACCCCTAGCCCAGTCATGTTTACAAACTCAACTATGGGGGACCACCCCGTAGCGCAAGAGCGTGCCCCTTCACGTTACCGTGGGCGGCGATGCGAGCGGGGGTCCCATGTTTTGGGGGGTCACCGATCACAAGTGGTTCATAATTATGGTCAGTTGCCCACAAAATCTTTTTTTCCTTTATATTTTTAGAGAGAGAGAGACCTGCAGCATCAGAATCATATCGGATATTTCTCCCTACTGTAATATTTTTTTGTTTACTTTCCAGTTTCTTATTGGAATGCAGGTGATTGGCTGATCATGGCGAAGGGGGGCCCTGGGGCGCAGAATGAGCAGGAAGCAGGCGTGGGTCGAGGGGAACATCCTGGTGATGGAGCCTGGGGAACCATCCTCAATGATTCCAAATTTCATCCATCAATCATCTGGAAAACCATCATCAACCATCAGAAAAACTATGATTAGCCATCATCATAGATGGGTTTAAGGAAAAGCTTTAACCGGAAACCATTTTTTTTTACATGTTTTTACAATTTCCCGCAAATTTTCCCTTCAACAACACCATTTCATCCATGAACCATCATCTTTAAAAAAATCATCAAACATACGATTAACCATATTTAACCATGATTAACCATTACTAACCATGATTAACCACTACTAACCATGATTAACCACTACTAACCATGATTAACCATTACTAACCATGATTAACCACTACTAACCATGATTAACCACTACTAACCATGATTAACCATTACTAACCATGATTAACCATTACTAACCATGATTAACCATTACTAACCATGATTAACCACTACTAACCATGATTAACCACTACTAACCATGATTTTTACCATCAACGACGATAAAAACGGTGCGTTCCACCGTTGTTTGCCGTTGGATCACCTGGCAGGTCGCCTGGCAGTGAAGAACTCCTTGATCGAGTGCCATGATGCCATAGGACGGAGACCCACGGTGAGCGTTTGGGACACGTGATCACTGGCTAAAGCCCGATTTGGGGGATGAATTGTATCATGTATAGAATAAATTATAATATATATAATATAATATAATATAATATATTATAATATATATATATTATAATATTATATGATTATACTTCCCTATTAGATTCTTGGGGATAAGAAACCTGGGGAACCCCCATGAAGCAAGCAGTATAAATGGCATGAGGGATAACACGGCCGAAGTGGGTTAGGATTCCAGTGGCTAACTCCGAAGGTGGTCCTAGTGGGGAATATCATGATTTTTGGTCATGCAAGAAATAGCATGCCCCAGCTCAAGATCAATTTCATTAATATCATTAAGGCATGAGACATGATCACACGCTCTTTTCACAAGTGAAGGCGCGCAAAAGAAAAGCTACAGCTCAAGTTCCGACAAGTGAAGCCAATTTTCAAGTATCAGTATAAGTATATGTCTTATATGTATCATTGATTATGCCATGGATTATGGTGATTATCATGGATTATGGATGATTATGGTGCTATATGGTGCTTATGCTGATTGTATCAGTTGATTTTGGCCTCATGGCGCATTACATCCCTCCCGTATGCCGCACCAGTCCACACCGTGGGAATCATCGTGAAGTGTGGCCTCCGATTCGCTGCCGCGGCGCCACGGCATATTCTCGTTGGATGACTCTGTTGGATGGGCTTTTGGATGGTTTAAAAGTGAGTTGTGCATGGGAAAAAACACAACTGTTCACTAGATGAAAAGGCCCTCCATTTTCTGAAAGCTTGGGCCCCGGAGGGCCTCCTTCAGTCACCCTCCCAGCTGCGAGCGTAGTCGGAGCCAAGGGAATCGAAAGACTGAAGAGACACATGGAGATCTGCTTGAGCTCCGAGGGTGGCAAGGTTACTTGGCATTGATGGAAGATCGGTCAGCCACCACCTCTACTAGTTCTGGATTCGATCTTCGATCTATATCTATATATATATATATATCTCTCTATATATATATATATGTCTATATATTCATTTTTTTGGGAATGAATGGCCCACAAAAAACAACAACAATTTCTGTCCACTGAACCCTCAGAGCTATTTCCCCAAAAAAAACACCAGCCTACTGATGCGGGTGCATGAAAAAGATATCTTAGATCATCTTGGGTCCCGAGTCTGTCATGCCTTGGAAGGATGAAAGGCCGGAGAAACTTTGCGCGGTGGGTTGTGCCAGTTTCCATGACATTTGGCTTAAGAACACAACAAGAAGCGCAGCGCATATCAGCCAGCCTGGCATGGATGGATTACATGTCTTGGGGAGCCCAGACACTTTCAGCCAATGAGTACAGTACGTGGTGGTTCGCCTATGAGGGGGATAATCAGTTGTAGGCGTCCCTACAATTCCAAAACACCAACCACCACTTGGTAACCATTGGTCGACATATGACCCATGCTGACATATCAAATCTTTCTTCCAGCAATGTTTTTCCTGGAAACTGATGGACCATGACCCAAGGATACCCTCTGGTAATTTGTTACATAGCGAACTGGAAAATCACCATTTTTCATGGGAAAATCCACTATAAATGGTCATTTTCAATAGCTATTTTGACATAACCAGAGGGTACATGTAGAACATCATAGAATGCCATGGGGCCGCTGTCTTTCGGCCGTCGCTCGGCAGTCGTCGCACTCAGTGTGGCGTCGCTTGGCAGCTACTGGGATGGTAGCCTGATCCCGAGCCATGAGAGGCCATCCCACTTTTAAAGCCTTGGTTCACTTGGCTATGCCGCGGCTATGCCATTTATATATTCATGTATAATATTTGTGAAAATATTTCATGTATTTAGCATGTTTAGACGTGTAGTTTCTAGCCATGTTATTTTACCATGTTGCAACATGGCTATAACCCAGTAAGTGTCTTTATGTGAATATGGCATCCTAGTATCAATTAGTTTCCCTCAAAGATAGAAAAGTCAAATCCTACGAAAGTAGTGATCAATTTGGCATCTTTGGGCATCTTTAAAACTGGGGATTTCTGCAGTTTTCCCACGTTTTTTCACACGCCCCGAGGTGGATGGCAGCTGCTGATGTGAAGTTGAGCAACGGACGAGGGCGCCTCGGCCATGGATGTTATGTACAACAAAAACAATCTAAACATACAAATCTGATGGGTGTATGTGCTATCATGTGCTATCATGATTGCTATCATGATTGCAATCATGATTGCATATGTATGTATATAAAAATAGAGAGCTAGGTAGCTAAAGTTGGCTGAAGAGTTTTGGAATTTGGGCAGAACCTGGGCTGGGACATGCTGGGACCCAGCTGAGGCTGCCGTTGCTGGGGCTTGGGTGTGCCAGTGGCGTGAGGCAGCGCGGGTTCCGGCTCCCACAGGTATTCAATTTGTGCAACTCTTTACCCTCTGGTAAACTAACATAACTATGGAAAATAACAATTTTTAATGGGAAAATCCACTATAAATGGCCATTTTCAATAGCTATGTTAAATTACCAGAGGGTAGGTTGACCATGCCAAAGCCAACAACTATGGAGAAAAAACCTGGTCAGGGAATTCGCAGCCTTCTCTGTTTATTCACGAGGGGAGTTGTCGGGAGATGGTCCTTTAACTCTTGCAATTGACGGTGACACGGCTATTTTCGGGTCCAGAACTTCTTTGACCCTTGGATTAGTCAACATATTTGGCAGGAATCTTCAACATGACAGAACATGCCTTTGTCATCAGTCTGAAAATCGGTGAATTCGCCCTAATTTTAATGATTTAACCTGGTTGGTGGTTTCAAACATTTTTTTATTTTTCCATCATATATGGGATAGTCCTTTCCATTGACTAATATTTTTCAAGATGGTTAAAACCACCAACCAGCAATGATTCAATGGTCACTGATCATTTTTCTGCTTGAGCTTGCCATGAGGCGCAGCCACGTGGAGTCAGCGCTTCAACTGGGCTACCGACTGCTGGATACAGCGCAGGCTGATCAGCGGCATAGCTGCAGTGGGTGTCAGAAAATGGGCTAATTATGGGCGTTGACCAACAAAATCCAAGAAATGGTGGGGATTTTTGCAACAAAACGTGGGAACCATGTCAACTTCGTTAAAATTTTGGGCTTTTCCCGCTGTGAAGGGATTTTTGTCAAAAGTTTCTGGTTGCCAGGTGGGGCTACCACGAAGATGAGGTGGGTGAAGCTATTCAAGGTCTACCACGTGAAGTCTCTCGGTCCAAGGTGGAGGCAAGTGACGTTGGAAAGGAGTGCAGTGGTGCCGGGGCACCTTTCAAGTTAATCTAAAGTCATGTCCATTTTCAGATTTTGAACTTCATAGTGTACAAAATGTAAAAACCCGATAATAGCTACCATATACATTACCTAAAATGATATCAGATTTTGAACATCATCATGATGTAAAACGACATGATACCTAGACCGAAAGTTGTCCCAAGACTTTTGGAGATCAAAAAGGCATGCCGGAACAGGGTGCCCCTTTTCGCTCGGGTGCCCCTGTGACTTCTGAGGAGATCTTCTTGCAGAGCATCTCGGTGTTGCGCCGGGGATGTGACCGAAATAGCTGGAATTTCTGCTCCCACAATCACACATGACACATTACGCATTTCACACATTACACACTCTCCCTCCCTCGCTCCTCTCGGTCTCGCTCTCGCTTTCGCTCTCTTTTGTTCTATGGCCATCTATGGCCACTGCCATTTTCAACTGGGAAATGCGGTGGATTTACAGAGCCAACAGCATGAAAACATAGCTGGGGACCTGCCCAGGCAAGATCCATCCACAGGATCTGGGCTATGCCTCAACGAAGAGGGCCTTCCAGGTGTCTTTGGATCGCTTGAAGACCAGCTATCTGGATGCCATGCTGCTGCTTGGCTCATTTTGGGTGGGGTGGATGGAGGTATTACCAGGTACAGTAAGCCTGCTTAACCCGCAAATTGGATGATGTTTGCACACGACATATCAGGAAAGCGGTCAAAGCAAGAGCAAAACCAGAAAGATGGACGGGCAATTCTTCGTGCTAATTTCGCTTTTTTATCTTTGTGGATGCCCCAGACTGAACCCACGAAAGCTTTATTGCGATGTTAGGAAGTGAGGTTGCACAAACCATGGTGCTGGCCGGGCGCTTGTTCGCGAGAACCTGAAGGAACATGGCAAGATAGCTGGCGTGCTTTGGAGGCTAGATCCTGTCGCATTTCATGTCATCGGCTGGAAAACATGGCTGTCTCCATTGCAGGTCCAGTTTTTTTTTGATTGTTCTTAATGATCCAAATAAATATAATAAATCCAAATAAGCTGTTGAATGATGTTGAATGGCCTTCAGTATCCAGTTAGATCCTTGGCCACAATGATCGAAGGTTTTCTTGTGACTTCCCGACTTCGAAACTCACATTTTCAAGCCATGGGGTCCCCACATAGTTACTTCCACCGAGACTTGAATAATTAGGCACAGTGCACATCAGACATCTATACATTCGTATATGATACATACATACAAATAGATAGAAAATTGGACAAGATACAATTAGATTAGAGCAAAAATCAACTTAATTTCGATAGCTAGCTAGATAGGCAGATAGATAGATAGATAGATAGATAGATAGATAGATAGATCGAAAGTCACATGCACGCTTCTAACTTCACAGCCTCAGCTCCTGTGGCAGGAGCTGCACAGCGCCAACGTTGCGCTGGCCATCGGCATCTGCGACGTGGACGTCGCGCTTCTGTCGGAGCTGCTGCGGCAGAGGCGGAGTTCCCGGGGCAGTAGCCCGGGGCCCGCCGGGCCATGGGGAAACCACTTTGGGATCTCTGGAGAAGGGTCATTTTTTGGTGGAGAATGGTGGAAAATGCTGGAATGTCATTATTCATAGAATTGGATGATGGGAAAATTTACAGGAAAGCCCTATATTTGATGGTAAAAACCATGGTTTCCTGTAGATTTTCCCTTAAACCAATCCATTGAATTATTTTTGTGGGGGAGCACCTCATTTTTTTGGGTGGAAGTTGGCATATGTTGGCATTGTTTTGGAGAAAAGCAGCTAGAAATTCCATATGTGATATGTGGGGTTTCTTCCCGTTTTGGTTGTAGGGAACTCATCTACAAGGTCCAAAAAATGGGAAAATGTGGGAAACTAAGGTGACGAGGGGGAAATCCTTTTCGGATCTTTTCGGTAACTCCCTTGTTTTTGTTACTCGCAGGACGTCGTGATTTCAGGTAACTTCACATTTTTAGATCTGGTCCCGCCGGACGCGGGAGGCAGAAGCCTCACATTGTGCAGAACTGGAAACTCGGTTGGTGTTTGTTGACTTGCGGTTTGTCGGGGACTAGAAAAGACGAAATTAAACATGATTTAAATCTCTATTTAACAACACACAACAAAACAATTGTTCCATAGTTTTGGTTGACTCGGCCTTTGTTCCTTTAAGCTTCAGTCGGTGCCTTCCCGATCGAATCTTTGACATTTGGGGAGATCCGATCGAGTCAAACAGAGCGTTTTGCTCAGGATGGATCCCTTTCATCAAGACAAAGAGCTTCGCAGAAGGTGCAAAGAGGAAACGTGGATCAACGAACTCTCAACATGATCAACGAAGTCGCAGTCGGTTTTGGTAAAGGGAGGTGAGTAAGTTGATTTGCGCAACGATGTTACTTGTATGGGTCAACAGTCTGCAATCCCGGGACCCATTGGCCGGATTTCTGCAGGAGGGGATCCAGTACCAGGCCTATAGCACACTGGGCACGCAGTGGGTCCATTTCCGAGGCGGGGATGCAAGCTGGGAGAAAAAAACACCATTGGAAGCCAGCAGATAATTATTGTTTCGGCATCCATGTGTGTTTCTATACTTGTATAGATCACATGAACCGACAAAATTATTGTAATAATTTAATTTTGCTTCGCCTTAGCCTTGCTGAGGGGTGTGCAAAACCTTCATTACTGATACTAGTAGGGACGACCCCATATCGATACTCCAATTTTGCATGGGTCGCCTCAAAGTCTGTGAGCCCAGAAATCTTCACGGACGACCCTAATTTGCGCATGGCATGAAAATGAACAAGTAATTTCGTCTGCCATTCATATGTGCATAGTATGCGCATAGGCCGCAATCATGTGCAATAATGGCAACACTATGAATGTTCGATGTATGCATATGTGGTTAATCTTTCTGTATGCAGTATACATTTATGTAAAGCACAGACGAGTTCACGCATACATGCCGAAGCTGGCGGTTTTTGTGTGGGGTTATGGGCGAACTGCAGATCCCTCCCAACTGGGGATTGTTTCGTCGGGAAGTCTAGAGACGGGCCATGGGATGCCGGCCGGGAAAATAGGGCACCGCCAAAATCCCATGGTATTTTCCCATGGTTTTTTCCCTTAGTATGGCCATTTCGGAAATCAATTTCCCTTCTTCAGACACGCCATGACACGTTTCCGACATCTTCCACTTTCTGCCGGCTTCGTCATGAGATCGCCCAGGTTACCGTGGGCAGAACCCTGTCTTGACTCATCCGGTTCTGCGGAAGATCGCGCAGTTCCACGACCGCAGCGTGGCGCAGGCTGTGGGGTCTCCCTAGGGTTCTTGCGATGATGGCTCTCCCCAGATCCAAATGGTGAAAATGATTGAGCATTCACATAGTGACGACTTCCAAATTCAATGAAGCGATTGATGCGTTTTTTTTTGGTATTTTGATGAATCCAGGATTGACATTTGTGATGGATGGATTTGTGCTGCCAAAAATCATCAAGCAACGCTTCAAAAAACTGTGCAGATGATGGTGATCGAACCCGTTTCTTCCTCAAGATCCTCAAGAAGATATGGACACCCCACGCCCTAAATATTTAAACTGGTTGGTGGTTTGGAACATGAATTTTATTTTTCGATATGTTGGGAATATTTCTATCCCAACTGACTAAAAAAAATCAGAGGGGTAGGTCAACCACCAACCAGTAATTATTTAAATATGTCATCAAACTCTCTCCCTTCAGAAATATCAACCTCATACCGAATCCCTTAGCGCTGTCCAACAATGGTCATGTAACACACCCCCATTGTAGGTGCCACGTTGCAAGCTAGTGAGAAATGTGAGAATAAAAGTAAATCACTCTTCAGTTTCACGTTTTTTTTTTTTGATTTAGATAATTATAGATTTAGATAGATCATCATAGATCACAACTTTATATCACTACCCTCTGGTAATTCAACATAGCTATTGAATATGGCCCATTTATAGTTGATTTAATTACCCATTTAAGATGGTGATTTTCCAGTTCGCTATGTTAGGCTATGTTAGTTTACCAGAGGGTAACTCACTTTTCTAACCATGATCTGACCATGAAACATAGAAGATTTTCACGAAAAGAATGGATTCATGGTGAAAATCGATGGATTCTATAGACGTCCTTTTCCCATTGGTTGGTTGATTAATAGAGGGGTTTGAAGAAACCCCTTTAACAACAGGTAAATGATGATAGATGGTATACCAGCTCCCGGCTCCTCTATTTTTACCAAAAGGACATTATTGATGGCTTCACTTCCGGACAGCTCCGCTGCTCCGGGTTCCCGCTGCCAGGTGGTCCTCAACTGGGCGCAGCAGCAGGACGTCTCTGTGATCCCAGCCTCGACAGATCCACAGCGACAGAGGCTGGGATGGCCATGACGGATTTCTGTGGGCATCTGTGGGCCTTAAACAAAAAAAGCATAATGTGCGTGTGTACACACACATATATATATAAGTATATATATATATATGTATGTAATTATACATGCATATATATATATATTAGATGATATTAGATCATATTAGCTATGTATGTATATATATATAGATATTATTTATTTTTATTAGCATTGTTATTATTATTATTACTATTATTTATGATTGTCATTGTCATTATTATTCTTCTTGTTATTATACATTATGTTCCCATGATCAAAGGTCACATTCTTATTATCTCTTATTTCAAGTTGGAAAATGTTGGAAACAGCCACAAAACCAGTCAAAAACGTGGACTTTCGACAGCAGAGCGCAACTTGAAATCCCCTATGTTTACAAAGATTTGACATGCACAAGGTGATTTCACGTTATTAGTCTATGTGAATTCCAACAGCCTCATCCCAGACCCAGCACTTCTTCTTCACCAATGGTCAAGTAGGGATACATCAACACCTATTTTGTCGATTTTCGTCGTATTTTGGGGCAGGAACATTCACCAAAATAGTTTATCTTCACAGAAGGGTATATACCAGGGTTTATGACCCATAGCCAGGTCACAAAACACATCCAGATCATCCAGGGGCTGTTGGGTCAGCTTGAGAGCAGGTCGAATTTGGAGAGCTTGAATTTCACCTTGAGACCAGAGGATCTCAGGGCCATTGATGTTTCTGGGACGATTGTGTTTTTTAGGGCTGTCGGGGGCTGTCCGGGGCTGGTGATGACCCATCCTGAATTGTGGTGATTTTTGCCGTGCTCGTGCCGCATTCTAACTGAGTTGGTCAAATATTTGGAATTCGCGGCGGCATTCTAACTTTCACTTTAAGATTGTATATCAAACCCCGCAAAAGATGCCAAACAGTGTTTCCAGGATGGTGGTTTGATATCATTTATATACTTTGTATTTTATTGAATTCTTCACCTTCTTTATAGCTGGAGGGTTGCTATACATATCCCATCATATCCCCATATTTTTCCGCATTTCCGTTGTTTAAATGACCAATTTCTGGCGGGACTTGGGGAAAAGCATGACCTCCTCACCAAGCTGCCGAGGCTTTGGATGGCACTTTAGACCATGTGGACCCAAAGGAGGCCATGATGAAAATGTCAGGCGCGGCTCTGCGGGGATCGCCGGATGCGGAGGTAATTTTTTTTGGGGAAGTCCCCAGAACAAATGGTAGATTTAAGGGATTTAAGGATGCCACCTTAGCAATTATTTAAAGAGTTTTGGTGACCCAACTAGTGACTGCTAGTGATTTTTCGGTGGATTTTACATTTTTTTCATCGGCAAATGCCGGTGTCCAATTGCCATGTTAGATTCCCAGAGGGAAAAAGAGCTGGAAAACCCTTCATGGAAAGTAGAACGCTGTGATCCGCATGAAGAACGACTACTGTATTTACTGTAATTACTTCGATTTCTCGCATGGCCGCTTGATTTATTTGTGGGTTTTCCTCTGGGAAATTGCTTTCTTTCCATCCAAGAATAGGTAGTTGACATGGGTTTCCTATGCTCAGATCTCGCCCCGCTTGAAAGCCAGGAGAGCTGTGAGCGCGTCTGAAAATGAGCCCCGGGCGGCGCGTGGTGTGTTTGGAGGATTCATCCCAGTTGGCAAGTGACTAATGACCATTGGCAGTTGCCCTAGGGTAAGCTAACATAGATGTGGACAACCCATGGTGTATGAAGGTTTTATTTTCCAAAAAACAGGGTGAATTTTCTATGAATTTCCATTTTTCATAGCTATTGAAAATGGACCAACATAGCTATTGAACTGGAAAATGACCATTTTTATCCATTTTTCAATTGAACATTTTTCTCGATGTTCCAGTTCCCTACGTTAGTTTGTGATCGATGGATGGTTGGGATGCCCTCCAAGGCTGCGCTGGCCTTTGCCCAGCACCTCCTCTCGCGGGCCAACTTTGTGCAGACCTTCTGCAAGGCGCCGAGATTTGCCTCCAGACATCATGGAGCATGGCACTTGGGAAAATGCGGTTTTAAACCTTTGGATTCACATTGGATTACCCTCTGCTAAAGTAACATAGACCCTGGCAGTCATTGGGGTTGGAAGACTAGTTTCCATGAAAAAATGGTGATTTTCAGGGTCTATGTTTATTTACCAGAGGGTAAGGACCATTAACCATAAGATGGTTTATCTAATGGTAACCATGAAAAAAACGGCAAGATCATCTTATCACATTAGTTTCGCTGGATTGGATTGGGGAACGATCTACACCAAACCATGGTTTTTGCAATCACATAATGGAGTTCCCATTTCCTGCAACAAATCCTTAAACCCATCCAGTGCCATGTGGTAAGTGGACAACTTTTTACTGGCTGTAGCTATAGCCAGGGTAACATTTGTCTACTGATCTTGTTTCCATTCCTGTGAGCATGCCCCTTCGGCCCCGTTCATACGCCCATTCTGAGTTCCAGGATGGACAAAATGCCTGGATCATCAAGCACAGCGCCTGGGACTTTCTTCACAGGTTGCAGGACCCCCCCCCTGAATCTGGGAGTCAACGCCATGGTGTTTCTTGTAAATTCATCCATTGAACCCATCCAGGACCATGCCATGGTAAAAAATAGGCTATGCCCAACTGCCAGGAATCCAGTGCGAAAATATGCGAACATCAACAAAGAAGGGCTCTTAGAACTCTTAGGGTCTTAGGGTTTCATGTTGGCTTGAAGGGGTGCAGCCTCCAGAATACAATGCAATATGTGTCAACTTTTTTTTTTGCCACGGCAGATTCTTCACTAGTAGAATAATTATTGGGAGATAGGGGATCTTGCATGGCAATCTCAGGCTTGGATGAAGAAAAAAACATCTGTGGAAAGCTGTCGTTTACCAGGGACAAATGTGGGAAATCCAGTGATGACATTCCCTGTGAGGTGATCTGCAAGAGAGCTTGCAGGAGATTGGACGGCGCATGCTCCAATGGGTCCCTTGATCTGAAAACATGATGAGATTGTCAATGGCCATGCTGGACAGGAACCGATTGATTGGAGGTACCTACCATATATTTTAGGCCTATTTTTCGTATTTTTCAGGCCTAAATTTCAGGGAATATCCCCAGAAAATATGGTAAGTACCATGGAGTACCCTGCAACATATTCCCAACATGTTTCACCTTCTCAATGGGCATTATTGGAATTATATTGTATTGGGACTAGATTTATTATTATTTGTTGGAATCCTGAAATTGGGAATATTCCATAAATTATGGAATATATGTATTGGTTTCAATATATTTATTGGGAATATATTTATTGGATCCTGAAATTGGTTTCACTATATTGATTGGGATATATTTATTGGATCCTGAATATTCCATAAATTCTAACGTACCTCCATGTATTGGATCCTTTTTTTTTCCATCCGCTGATCCAATTCAATTGGTACCGCTCTCACCGAGGCCATTGTCAGCACGGCAGATCAGGCCGAGTGGGCAGATGTGAGTTGTAGAAGAAATCCATGAGAGAGATATAGGTTTCACCCTCTGGTAAATTAACATAGACCCTGGCAGATAGGGGTTGGAAGATTAGTTTCCATTAAAACTAGGCTATTTTCAGGGTCAACAAGTTAATTTACCAGAGGGTATATGGTTTTATATATGGATTTCTACTGAAAAGACCTCATAACTGGGATCTAGCTGGGATATCATGGAACAACACACCTATTTGAGGAACCATTATATTTTAATCCCTCTCCCCTAATATGAAACACCACCAAATATAACCTTTAACCCTGGTGTGGTATTGGATCTATTCAAGAATTGGGACTAATATTGGAGGTATTGAATATTAGCGAGATGGGATTGCGTATGTCAGAAACAGCCAAAGACTAGCGTGATACTCCCAGTGAGGAGTTGAAGGGAATAGTTGGATTCCAGGTCTTTTTCCTGACCTTACAGAATTCGATGTTCTGAACACTTCCTAGGAAGACCTAGTATAATGTGGGTAGAGCAATAATAAGCCACCCATTTGGGAGTGGTTTATACCACCTATTTATGGCGATGACTGGCGGATGGTTTATGGCATTGTTTTAAGCACATTCCCGATTCTGAAGGACCATTGTTGCAATCCTGTGGGACAGCAACTTCGCAGGTGGCCAGCGGCCGCGAGCGCATCGCACAGAAGGCTCAAGGGGCACAACAAGCTGAAGAGAAGTTGTTGCAGGCACGGCACTCAAAGCACATCTTCTCATTTCATCTCATTTCCCCATGATTTCCCACGAAAAATATGGTTGTATGGGAGAAATAAATCTAGAACATTTGCTAGAACATAGAAATAAACATGGGACATGATTGTCACATTCCTAGTCATTCGTACTAAATCGTTTTTTTTTTAGATGTTCGCTTGACAAAAGTGTATCACCTTGATTTCAGATTCAATGGCCTAATCTCCAGCATTTTTGGACCAACTGATTTGGAGTGGGCGCCGCGCCAGGTGCGTTTGGCACTGTGGCACCAGCGCCGCGATGTAAGGTCCATGCGTCTCGGCGGTGTTTAAAAACGGTGAAACCTCGGGGGATGTTTAGATGGCACGGCCATTTTTCCGCGATGCGCAAATTGACATGGGACACAGGACATACCCTTTGGTAATTTAACATAGCTATTGAAAATGGCCATTTATAGTGGATTTTCCCATTAAAAATGGTGATTTTCCATAGTTATGTTAGTTTACCAGAGGGTAGGCTACATGAAGGCATTGGTTAACAAGACTTTGGTGCACTTAAGGAGTGGTAAATTTCAGACTCATTGAGCTATGAGATGCTAAGAATTCCTACAATTACAACCAGGATTTTTGTGTTTTTTGTTAGTGAAGCAATTTTTTTTTTTTAAAACGTGTTTTTTGTTAGTGAAGCGATGATTAAAAAAAAACAATATTTTTCTCCATAAAAATGGTAAAATTGGAGTAAAATCAACTTTCCGAGGCTCAATGCGATGGTTTCTGACCGAGTTCCGCGTGAGATGTGCCTTGGACTTGGTGTGGTCGAGCAAGTCGACCGGAAAGGCAGCCACCGGAGGAATTTTACCGCCAAAATTGGTTGGGTCCTGGAACAAATTACCCTCTGGTTATGACTAACATAGCCATGGTATAGATGGCCCATAGAAATAGATGATTTACCGTTCTTAAAAATGCTGATTTTCCATGGCGAACTGTTAAATAACCAGATGGTATCCTTCAATGGATTGGTTTAAGGGAAAATCTTCACCGGAAATTTCATGATTTTCCCATTCAGATCATGGATAGATCATGGGGCTTTCCTGTAAGTTTTCCCTTAAACCAATCCATTGAATCCTAAATCAATCCAATGACATTTGCACTGATTCTGGATGTTTCTTGACATTTGCGGACTATGCGGGAGCTGTTCGGAGCTATTAAAGTGTCCGTTAATATTCCCTATGAATTCCTAGATAAAGAGCCAGTTGAAGCTATGAATTGAGTTTCCCAAGCACATAGTTGAGGTTGGAAAGTTGAATTTTCTCAGCTGACCCTTCTGAGTGGGAGATGGGTCAAGAGTTGAGGTTTCAGTTTTGCTACAGTTGTGGCCCTCAAGAGTTATCAAAGGGATCAGAACTCCTGCAACTAAGGTTATATGTGTGTATATGCCCTCTGGTGAACTAACATAACTATAGAAGTAATGGGAAAACTCACTATAAATGGCAATTTTCAATAGCTATGTTAAATTACCAGATGGTATATATATATACCTAAACGAGGTTACAAGCCAGCTATAGCTGTTAAGGGCCTAACTAAATAGCCATTTTGGAGCTACCCTTTATGGCACAGCCATCGTTGATCCATGGCCCTGGCCCTGGCAGCGGGCCCCCAAACTTTGGTGAAGACCTACAGTGTCTAGGTGGTGCAAAGCAGCACTATCCATTCTGGCCAGTGGAACTACTATTCATAATGATTTAATCTAATGATAGTAATATAATGATAATGATGAGTGCTAATGATTATTATTACTATCATATTATGATTATTATTCATAATGATTTAATATAAGATAATAATAACGATAATAATAATGATAATGATAATGATGATAATAATAATAATACATATAATAGTAATAATAAAACTAGAAATGATGATAATGTATTATTATTATTAGCATTATATTATTCTTCTTCTTATTATTATTATTATGAGCATTATATTCTTATTCTTTTGATTATTATTGCAATTATATCTTGTTTTCATTAGTGACAACAATAGTAGGAATTATCCGAGTGGTGCCGCCCACAAAATCACCAGAACGTGCTCTCCCCTACCAAACGAAAAAATACAAATTTGTGTGATGTTGGGCTTTGGGAGCCACATCGCGCCGCCCAGATTTGAACTGGACCGCCTGCATCGCTCGCACCGCGCCGTTTGCTCAGCGGCGTTGGAGGCGACATGGTGGGAGCGCAGGATGGGTGGAAACAACATGGGAAATCCGGGGAGGCCCGTATATAGCCTATTACTTAGCTGCTTATTGCTGGCCATTCTTGGATATAAGATTATATAAGTCGGACTAAATAGGAGTCGACTAGGAAGTTGACATATGAATAACTAGGAAGTTCACTCTTCCAATAAGTTTCTCTATAGGAGTTGACTAGGACTGAAATTGTGACCTGATGTGTAGAGCACAAAGACACCGCTGCTGCGCGAGCCAGGCTGAACACCGCTGCTGCGTGAGCCTACATGAGCAGATTGTAGAGGCGCAACATTAGGTTTCTGCTTCGAATTGGCTTGCATATCAAATACAATAATTATAATATTATAGTAAAATCTAATATGATATGTATATAATATGCATATAATATGTATATAATAAACAATATGTACTTAATATGTAATATATATACATATATAGCAACCCCCAAAATATCGAACTTTAGAATCCGGTGAGTGCTACATCAGTTTTAAGCCAACGCTGTATCAACGGGAACTGCCGGCTTGCCGCTCCGTCGGACACAATTTAGCATAACTTTGGGGGTGTCTCCCCAAAATAGATAGGATAGGTACAGTATGTTCCAACTTGAAATACCCTCTGGTAAACTAACATAGCTATTGAAAATGGCCATTTATGGTGAGTTTTCCCATTAATAGCATGGTGATTTTCTATAGTTTTTTCTTTACGTTTACCAGAGGGTAGTGCCAGCAGCAAGAATATTGAGGCATCTGGTAAACTAACATAACTATGGAAAATCACCATTTTTAATGGGAAAATCCACTATTTCAATGGCCATTTTCAATAGCAATTGACATAACACCTCCAGCCTTGACCCCCCAAAAAATGTGGTGAAACCAAGAGTAAAAACCATCCCCCAGTCATCACCATAAATAGGATAAACCATTCCCAAACGGGGGGTTTATTTTGTTGTTTTACCCACATTATATATATATACAGTGTATATATATATTTATGTGTATATATATACAGTGTATATATATATAACAGTGTATATATATACAGTGTATATATATATATATATATTTATGCGTATATATATATACAGTGTATATATATATATATATATATATATGTGTGTATATATATATACAGTGTATATATATATATATATAAATAGCTATTTATAATGTGGGAAACCCAATGCCTGCCATCAACCATTCTGACGCCAGAAATTGGGCTCGCTGGATGATGCCTTGAGCTACTCGCAGAACTGCTTCAGAGACTACCGGAAGGAGATGAACCAGGACGGACAAACGAGTAATTCTTGGAGCTCAAGGAGCTCAGCAATTTTTCAAACATTTTGCAAAATGTTAACCCCGGAGAAAATAAATGTTGGGGTATAATAAGGAAAATCACCATTTCAGAGCTGGGTAAATCAACTATAAATGGCCATTTTCCATGGCTATGTTAAATAACCAGAGGGTATGTATAAACCCTGGTTTATGACAATTAGGGGGGTACTCCTCCAATAGTCATTTCATCTGGTACTTTTTTATGGTACCCTCACAATTAAACAATCGTTTGGGGTTTATTAATCCAGGGTTGACATTGCTGTATGTATATGTGTGTATATGATCACGCACCCCCCATGATCTACCTTTAGCCTTTTCTATATGAGTAACCGACAAAATTAGCAGAAGACTAAAGTAGTAAGGAGTGGACATGGGATGTTCAAATTTGTGTAAAACCTTCACAACCGATAGGGGACCACCCACTTACCGATACCCTATTTTTATACATACCATGGAAATACAAACCTTCACAACCGATAGGGGACCACCCACTTTGGCCATGTCCATTACGAGCAGTAAGTAATTTTGTCCGCCACTCATATATGTATATATATATATATTAGTTGGTTATATATGTCTATATATACACACGTTTACGCACATGTAACACACATACTGTTTTTATATATATATATATATTTCTATGTATACATATATGTATATGTAGTGCAATCTATATATAAATAAATAATTATACACATACATACATATATATATATATTTAATATCCATAATATACATGGTTTTCTCAGACTTGTTTTCCTATTTGCAGTGCTTCCAGCCAGGGGGCTCAACTGTAGAAGCGGCAACTGTCAGTGATTTCATTGCCTCTACCCCTTCCCCGCGAATTAAATACCGCCCAGAAACCGTGGTTTAGTAGGGATTGAGACATATTTGGAACTACTGGGTGTTTCAATATTTGGGGGAAGGGATTATTTGGGTTAAGTATGATCAATTACACTTAATTGTTGCTACAGTCATGATCAGTTATATTCAATTGTCAAATATTTGATCCTATTTGATCCTATTTGATCCTATTTGTAGATTACTGCAGTTTTCATTTCTGCCACGCTTGGCAGCAGGGTGGTGTCTCCCTTAAAATTCACCGCCACCAGGGTGTGCAACTTGAGATGCGGAATCTGAAGCAACTTCTGAGCAACCAACTCCTCAAGAGCCTCGGCCGACTCGACGGGTGAATCCACCAGCCGATGTGCTCGGTGATTTTTCGGGAGAAACGTTCATGTTTGTTGCCCGGTTTGTGAGTTGCTAAATGGAAGATCCACATCCACCAGCTGGTGACGATCCCATGGATTGAATCAACCACCAAGCAGGTTGGGCAATTTTCAGGAACCATCACCTACTTATTTGATTCCCAAGGAGTTCTTATATTTAACGCATTTTAACACTATGCTTTTCTATAGATTTCCCTCAAATCATCCCATTGATTGAAGGTAAAAATCAAAGTTTCCTAGAAGAGATCTCACACCCGAGGATGCAGCCACAGACTCTGACGGTGCAAAATGCACTGAAACGCATCGAGAAAGACGAAACTTGGGATAAAGACATGGTGCTCTTTGGTGTTTTTATCTTGGGGTCCTCCAAGGAAAACGGAGATAATTAGTTGAATCACTTCTATGGACATTGTGATTTTTCGATCGTTTCGTTCGAGTTGGTGAGGTTATTTTTCGGGGGCATACCTGTATGGTCACCACCATGCTGGCAGTACCTCCAAGTGACTACACGGAAAAGGCACCAGATGGCAGTACCTCCACCAAGATCACCAAGGACAGAGATGATCCCCAGGCATTGGCGAAATTCTGAGCCGATTGGGAAAGATTGGGAGAAATTGATGCGTTTGACCAATTGGGAAAATGGAAAATTGGGAAACTTGGGAAAATTGATGGTTAATCTACATCCACATCCAATGGATATCTACGATTTGGATATGATTGAAATTGTCCATCTACATCCAATCATATCATCTACATTTGCAGGTTTTTTTTCCCTCCTTAAATGTCGGTTTTTCTTGCTGTCAGTCCGCTATATATCCAATGTCAGGCTGACAGAACTGAACCATGAATCATCCATATCCAATCTTGAATGGATGCTTCAGGGAACCAACCGAACCATGGCTCTCATGTGCTGAGCAGCACAGGTGGGCTCAGCTTTGAAGCGACCAGAGCCAGTCCAACCGCAGGTGCCCAACACTCCGCTGGATGGCTGGATGGCCAATAAAAATTGGGATAATTTGGGAACATAACCCATGATCTGGCGGTTTTTAAGCGTTTTTCTCAATCTGTTGATGTTGAGTTAATGCGATTTAAGTATCCACGAACGATGGACACAAAAGCATCCACAAAGCTGGGCCCACCTCTGATTTTCCAACGTTTTTGGAATGGTGAGCCAGACTGACCTTTCCCTCCGACAATCCAACCTGCAGGACAATGTTCAAGTTCGTGTTTTTTTCTTTTAAGTTTCTCTATTGATTTTCCTTTGAAAAACATGATTTCTGATATTTCTGGCCAGGTTCAATTAAAGTTTCACTGTTTCACTAGCATTACCCTCTGGTAATTTAACGTAGCTATGGAAAATCACCATTTTTCATGGGAAAATCCACTATAAATGGCCATTTTCCATTGCTATGTTAGTTCACCAGAGGGTAAAGTTTCATTAGCTGATGGTTTGATGCAAAAGGAGGGATCAACCTCGCCATGTTTGCCGCCTCTCAGTCATCGGCTTCGACACACTTTGGCACGGCGGCTTCGGAGTCCTACGTGGAAGCGGCGATCATAGGCGTCCGAGCGTTGGAAAACGGGCGTTGGTCAACTAAGCCGCTAAGCCTCTAGGAATGTGCATTAGATTGGCTTAATGGACATTAATCTAGGCACACCATGGTTTTTCCGAAGAATTTTGGGGGTTTTCCTGTCAATTTTCCTTTCCAATTCTTGGAAATCCTTGAATTGTTCAACCTCCATGGCCATAGGATGCAAGTCATGAATCTGATTTCCCTAAAACTTCAAGGTTTTGGCATAGCTGTTTATTGCGCTCAAAATGTAAAAGCAACAAGTGGGCGATATGCCAAAACAGGTCTGACCCTCTTCTTGGAGGGAGCACGCCAGCATAGTCCATCATGAAATGACTGATTCATTCGAAGCCCAGCAGAAACTTCACACAAACGACACTTAATACGACACTTCGAAACATCATTTCAATCCATAGAAGAAGCTCCCCAGATTTTTAGTCCCAATTAAATCCCATTAACTCCCATCATATATCCCACTAAATCCCACTAAAATCCATTAAATCACCATTAAATCCCACTAAATTCCGCTAAAATCCATTAAATCACCATTAAATCCCATTAAATTCCATGAAATCATCATGTAATCACCATAAAACTCCCATATTTCTTCCCGAAAATCCAGACCTTTCTCGCCAGCTCAAGGCCCCCAGCGTCCAGCCCTACAGCCCGGTGCGCAGCTGCAGCGCAAGGCAGCTCTGGAGGACGGCGGGATCTTTGGTGCCATGGGGTGGGCTGATAAATAAATAAATAAATCAATAGATAGAAAGATTAGATAGATTAAATAGATTATATAGATAGTTTAGAGAGATTAGATAGATTAGATAGAGTAGATAGAGTAGATCGATTAGATAGTTTAGATAGATAAGATAGATTAGATAGATTAGATAGATTAGATCGATTAGATAGACTAGATAGACTAGATAGATTAGATAGACTAGATACATTAGATAGATTAGATAGATTAGATACATTAGATAGATTAGATCGACTAGATAGATTAGATAGATCAGATAGATCAGATAGATTAGATATATTAGAAAGAATAGATTAGATATAGAATAGATAGAGTAGATAGAGCAGATAGAGTAGATAGAGTAGATAGAGTAGATAGATTAGATAGATTAGATAGATTAGATAGAATAGATAGTTTGAATAGAATAGATAGAGTAGATAGAGTAGATAGAATAGAAAAACGTAGATGGAGTAGATTTAGTAGATAGAGTAGATAGATTAGATAGAGATAGATTAGATAGAGTAGATAGATTATATAGAGTAGATATAGAATAGATAGAGTAGATAGATTAGAGAAACATAGATGGAGTAGATTGAGTAGATAGAGTAGATAGAGTAGATAGATTAGACAGAGTAGATAGAGTAGATAAGGTAGACAGATTAGATAGATAGATAGATAGATAGATAGATGGATGGATGGATAGATAGATTGATAGATCGATAAATCGATAGATCGATAGATCGACAATAGATCGATAGATCGATAGATAGATAGATAGATAGATAGATCGATAGATAGATAGATAGATCGATAGATAGATAGATACAGAGATAATGGAGAGAGAGAGAGAGAGAGAGTGAGAGAGAGATATATATATGTAATGTTGGACGCTGATTATTGTAGGACCACCCTCAACAATTTCGGTATACGGTATGCTCTATTATTCAACATTTCTTGGGACCAGGTCTGGGGAACTCAGGATGATCAACTTAAGTAAGGATTTCAATTGATGCCAATCTACCTTCAATTGATGTTCCTTTTAAATCTTTAGACACATCAGGATTAGTCAGGATTTCAATGGATTTGAATCTACTTTCAGCTGATTTTCTTATATAACTTAAATGCAATCTAAGGATAAGTAAGAATTTCAATTCATTTCCAACTACGTTCAATTCTTTTTCCTTTAGAGCCTAAAAGAAATCTATTGATACGTAAGGTTTTCAATTGAAATCAAAGGATTATAATCTTAGATGCCGGTTGGCCCCTTCGAAACCTCTCAAAAAACGGATTAGGAGGATGATTTTACGATGTTATCAGTACTATAGATATGATGAACATTTTTAGACTTGACATGATTTTACGATATTTCATAGTTTTTTTCCCATAGTATCATAGATTTTTCATAGATTTTCATAGGCTTTACTTTATTTTAACAGATCTTCATAGTTTTTTTTTGACTCCTGGGCATGAAACTTTCACCTCTCCGTCATTAGGAGATGCACCAAGAGATTGCGCAGATGTTGGCCGCCGGCACTAGGAGCGCGGCTGACTAGCGAAGTGGTGCTATCATGGGATTTTTTCCAGGAATGTACTCATGAAGAAGAGCTTTTTTTTTTTGGGGAATATCATGAGATATCCTGGGGAAAATTAGAATACCCTTTGGTTTAGCATAGCTGTGGAAGATCACCATTTGGAAGATCATCTGTAAATGGACCATTTTCCATAGCTTAGGTTAAAGAACTAGAGGGTAATCCCCAGAAAGATGGAAAAAGTAACAAAAAACACCAAATTAGTAGGGGTTTAGTATGACACTAGGATTTACGTTGCCATTTTATCGATCTTAATGGGCATGTGCCATTAGCCAACATCAAACCTTGGGGGATTAAACCATTTTTAGTAGGTAAATCATCTACCGGTGGGTAATGTTCCATGGCTATGTCATGTTTCCAGAAGGTTGCACTTTTATAGCCCGAAATGGAACAATGCACTAACAGGCCAACATGCTTTTTTGGTGCAGGGTGTCTAAGATTGGCTATTCTATGTCTATAGAAACAGTGTTCCACACCAAGAAAAGTAGCATCAGGAAAATACGGCATGGTAATTGTTGATGTATTTATCTTTCTATATTCTTATCGTGGGTGAATGGATGCCATTACATTGGCAACAAGAACTTAGATTTATATGGCAGGTTCAAACTTCACCTAACCTTGGCCAAAACCCTGCGCGTCCTGAATTGTTCCAATTGGGTGCCTCAAGCGTAGTGAAGCTTTTCCTTCTGTGTATCAACCATTTTCTACCCATAGATCTTCGCCGACGGTGAATTAGTGCCTCACCGGAAACGACACTGATCCGGAGGTGAGATTGGGATCTTTCCCTTTTTTGGTTGGTCGTATGCTGAAAAATGGTCATATTTTCATCGCCAGGATTCACACCTTCTATGACTTGAAGTGTCAACAGCTGAAACAGTACTATGATGAGGAGAGAACGGGTAGAGAACAGATGGACGGTGCCGGGAAGACTCGGAAAATGCAGGTGAGGTCTTTGCCAGTTTCTCTGACCGCTCGGACTCACAAGGGGTTTGTCCCATAACTGCAGGTTTTACTTAAAAAAAACTGATGGTTATCAAAAGACCTTGTGTCATAGACGAGAGTGTCATAAACCGACATGAATTATGGGTTAGTTCTATTTAGTTCTTTAATCTCAAGTGGTGAATCATGGTGAATCCGTTGGCAAATGGGATGTCAACTCGTGCAGTAAATGCAGAGCAAACAAAAATGGTTTGATTCCGCCGTGTTTGATGGCTCCAGTCTGGTTATGACTAACATTTCGCCATGGTTTTTCGATGGCCCATAGAAATAGATGGTTTACCGTTCTTAATAGCATGGTGGATCTTTCCATGGCGAACTGTGAAATAACCAGATGGTATATCCCCGTTATATCCATATTACAACAACAGTTTTTGCATAGGATCCCCAAAGTCCCATGTGATCCCGTGGTTTATTAATATCTTCCCATATTGTCCTGAATCCTCGTAAAGCAACCGGATTCACATCACCAAATTTACAGAAATTTGCGCCATTTCAGTGGATGGGATTCCAACCGTCAATGATGAATTGGTGGTTTAGTGTCTTTGCTACTATTAATACCCTCTGGTTATTTAACATAGCCATGGGAAATGGCCCATAGAAATAGATGGTTTACCTATTAAAAATGGTGCTTTTCCATGGCTATGTTAAATAACCAGATGGTAATTGTTATGATCTAGTAATTGAAGAGATATATTACTATTGATCAGAGATCAATATATTGTTGGTAATAATTGTATATTACTATTACACTAGTAATATAACAATATAATAGTAATATAAGAGATCTTTGCTTTACCAACAGTGTTATGATCTCTTATCTTACTATTATACAATGGTATATATATAGAATTATATAGATGGTATATATTACTTATATATATATATAGGCAAATGTTACCACGAATTTCCCACTGTAATATCCCATTCATATTAGCTTTTCATGGCATTTTTCGGCATTTTGACCCGATGATTTCCCCGCCAGTCCCGGAGCGTTTACAAAGGCGTCGCTGGCTCAGGAGTTGCACCGCCTTTGTGGCACATTGTCCTCGAACCGCGAAGTCTGGGAAAACGTCTCGGAGGCGCGGACTGAGCGCGTTGAGTTGGTCGGAGATCGGTGGATTTTTCCGTTGAACATCGATGAGAATAGTCACTTCAACGGCGAACTGAAGATGATTGGAATAATTTTGGCTCAACTCTTTTTGGATACTGGTATAATTCAACAATTCACCTTGGTGAATGGTCAAGTGAGTCATTTAGTGCTATTTGCCAAACAGATCAATGGAGATTTGAATTATTGAAGCACTAGATTTATTGGTGCATGTTGCGTTCACATAGCAGGCCAAACCAGCTGGTGAGTTGAGAGGGCAAAAACTGGAAAATTCGTTAAATTTGATGAGAAAATAAGATAGAGGCATCCAGGCACCCGGCTAAACATAGACTTTTTTGTCAGTTGGGTATCTCAGACTACCCACATAGTGATAGATTCCTATGATCAAATACAGGCAACATCACGAAGCCAATCCCTTGCAAAATCACTTCTTTGAGCGTCACACTATGAAAAATCATAATTAGAATGTTTGAACGACAATGCGCATCCACAACAAGAATGATCAATGATAATTGACAACAATAGTGACTATGTGGGTCCCAGACAATCATTTCTGGGTTTGCTCAAAATGGTCCTGGAAAATCATGACTCTGGGAACAGAATTTTGCAGAACAGAAACCCAGGAAAATTTATGGGTTTCTGGCACTCATCCAACCATTTTTCAATCATTTTCCAGGCAAGACCTTCCTGGATTTTGCAGGTTTTTTACGGCCTTTCCGGGGCCGTGTATTTTTGGTCCCTAATGATAACAACAATCATGATAGTATATATATAATATATAGTAATCACCAGCAGAAAATACCCTGAGAATAATCCCTGCTCTCTGTAAATGATATTAAAGCCAGCTATTATCAACTACTATTGTTTAGTCATTCTCACTGACCACTCAATAAATATATTCCTCTACTATTGATATTTGGCAAATACTAATTAGTACAAACACCATTATATATTATTGTTGTTGTTGTTGTTGCTATTGCTGTTGCTGTTGCTGTTGCTGTCGCTGTTGCTGTTGTTGTTGTTGTTGTTGTTACATGGTTTAGCATTAACGACAAATGTGACCTACTACTGTGGTTAAACGTCATTTATGTTATTATTGTTAATAATGACAATGCCACTAACAGCAACAAGACCAATAACAACAACAATAATAATAGTGACAATAATTATGATACTGATTGATATATAACAACAATAAACAACCATTATTATGATAATGATAATGACAATAATGACAATAATGACAATAATGACAATAATAATGATCACACTGAAAACAGTGACAATCATGATAATGATGATAACTATGATAATTATGACAATGCTAACTATGATAATCATTATGACAATGATAATGCTAACTTTGATTATAATTACGACAATGACAATGCTAAGTATTAATATTTTTCAGAGGAATATTACTGATCATATTGATGGGATCATGCTAACTATTATAACTATCAATAGGTAAACCATCTATTTCGATTAGGGCCATCGAAAAACCATGGCTATGTTAGTCATAACCAGATGGTAACTGTTATGATCTAGTAATTGAAGAGATATATTACTATTGATCAGAGATCAATATATTGTTGGTAATAATTGTATAACTATTATAACTATGATAATCATATTATCTGGGATAATCCTTCCCATTATACCATGGCTATGTTAGTCATAACCAGATGGTACCTATGATACTCATATCATGTTGACCGCGCCCTCAGGGCCGCGAGCGGCAGCGCCTCCTGGCCGAGGAGATCGCCCGCTCGCAGCGGCGCTGTGAGGACGCCAATGGCGAGGCCAAGGTCATGCGCAAGGCCATCGACGTGGCGCGGTCGCAGTGGGAAAACCATAGAAAAACCATAGGAAAATGGGAAAATCCATAGGAAAACCATAGGAAAATGGTGGTTTACCCTCTGGTAAATTAACATAGACCCTGAAAATCACCAATTTATAGTGGAAACTAATCTTCCAACCCCTATCTGCCAGGGTCTATGTTAATTTACTGGAGGGTAAGCCACAAAGAAACAGGGATTTCATGAGATTTTGGAGCTGATTTGTGATAATTGGCTGAGTTGAGGCAGATAACGTGGTGACGTGTCCGGTTTGTGGGGATTTATGGGGGATATAACTATAGTGTAATATAGTGAATGGGTTTATAAACCAACTTAATTACAAGTGGGGGGGCACCACCTTGAGAAAATCCCATGAAATACATTGAAACATGGTGATTTAGAGATGTTGAAATCATGATCATTTAGGGTAAAAAGGGTCGAAGTGTCGCAGGCGGGAATGAAACAACTATAGTTAGATGGGGAAATTATGGCAATGGAAAATCCCCAAACTAGATGGATTGGTCATTGCCATGTTTGGGACACCACCTTGCAGGTGTAGACCACCCAGTTGGGAGTACCAGCCATGGCCACTGAGGAACACGAAGAGTACACCAAGAAGATGTTTCACTGGAACAGGATGCGGCCAACCAGGGGGGGGCCCTAGGCTATCCTTTTTGTTGCTGGGTATGCCTCTGATTTCTTTCGGGTTGCCCTTTCAGATCGATTTCTTTCGAGTTTTTGTTCGACTGGTGGTTTGGGTCTGGGGCATCCCATGGTCCCGTGGCCCGTGAGGCATTTTTCGGTGGAAGTGGGACGACTGATTTGTAAAAACCATAACGGTTGCCCTCTCAAGCATCGGCTGGCGTCGTTAGCCCCGAGTTGCCTTGTTTCGGTGATCCCTCCGGTGATCTCCGTGGAGGAAGATGATGAAGGCCCAAGGGGATTTGCAACATGAGATGCGCAGCTCGGAAACGATGGAGAACTATGGAAGAACTATGGATTTTATGGTGATTCTAGGGAAGGATATATGAAACACACTGAAAAACGAGGAGAACTATGGAAGAACTATAGCAGATTATAGTAGGATCATGTAGGACCTTCTGGGATTCCATGGTGATTTTATGGGATTTAATGGTGATACAATGGGATTTACCATCCCCCTAACTAGCACTTTTGAAGAGCTGGATCAATCTTGATTCAAGCCCCTAGCACTGTTTATAAGTCCAGAAGGCTTTGATGGCAAGTGGTTAACTGCGTGGGTGACTGTGGTTGTGGGTCAAGACCCAAGCACCCCAAAATGCTGTAGATGAAGATCTCAACATGGGGTACCATCTCAAAGATTTTGACCCACACAATTTACCCTCTGGTAAACTAACATAACTATAGAAAATCACCATTTTCAATGGGAAAATCCACTATAAATGGTCATTTTCAATAGCTATGTTAAATTACCAGAGGGTAAAACATCGCAGCGGGTTTCTGCAGCTTTTCTGAGGCAAGTATGAACGAGATGGCTTGGTGGATGTCAGCAAAATGGCCGCCCGGTGAAAAATGCCGCGCTTTTCGCAGTGGCTTCCACCATCCTTGTGAATCGGGAGTCATACTGTGTATACATGTGTATACTATATATCCTTTATAAATTGGGAGATTATGATCTGGTTGGTGGTTTGGAACATGTTTTATTTTTCCATATATTGGGAATAACCATCCCAACTGACTAATTTTTTTTAGAGGGGTTGAAACCACCAACCAGTTATTAAGTTGATGATCAAACCATTAAGTTGATTGTCTTGCTGAATATCACCAAATCCGGAAGTTGGGAACCCCATTCTGAACCAATACTGAAATCACAGGTCATGAAGGAGTATCTCTGAAGGGTTCACATTTGGAGCCATGTGCCAGCAAATCAGTGGTATTGACAGAACGAATCACTGTCATTCTTCACATTTAGCATACGGGTTCTGACCGAAGAGTGATCGAAAAGGTCTTTGGCCAAGTCTCAGACCACCTCAAAGGTCTTCATAACAATCCCTTCTTTGATCCTTCTGGATCATAGAATGGGAACATTTGCAGGGTTTCCCCTTATATTTCATGGTAAAAACCATGGTTTCCTGTAGATTTTCCATATTTGATGGTAAAAACCCTTGGGTTTCCGGTTTTCAGATTTTCCCCAAACCAATCCGTTGGATGCGCCAGCAGCTGCTGGATTTGCTGGTGAATCCATCACCAGATCGAACTTAGCTGTGGAATCGCAGGAATTCATATTGCAATATATATATATATCCCCAATGGCTACTGTAAATAAATAAATAAATGAATGAATGAATGAATGAATGAATGAATATATATATATGTACACACACACATATATATACATATATCTATCTATCTAGATATCACTTACTGATACTTTTTCTGTATCTCATCCACTTGGAAGTGTTTCAGGAAAGCGAGCTGGGCAAACTCGATGCACAACTCCAACAGCTGTTGGGCTGCTCAGTTTGAGAACCCCAAACAGCTGGGTTCTTTCAGAAAAGCACAGCGGGATGCACAAAAAAAGTGCTCAGTTTTTAAACAAACCAAGATCCTATGGCTGGTTATGTCTCATTTTTGTTAGTGATTGAATAACCAGCCATAGTTAGTGATAGAATCCCCATTTTTCTATGGCTGGTTATGTCTGAGCCACACATTTACCAGAATCCCTGGCGGCCCTAACGAGGTCACCCAAACTACCGAAGGCAAAAGGGCTTCTGAAGCCTCCTTTGGACTGGAATTCCTCCAGTCCAGTGGAATCCACTGGGTAAATGATAGCCACTTAAATGGAGGGGAAATGTACCAGCTTCGCGGTGTTAGCAATCCAAGGTCCCCTCAGGTGGTGACTTTCCCATACCTTGGCTTCGGGAATTTCCCAGCCACGGTGCTTCAGCACCTCGTGAACCCAACATTCACCATTAAACACCATGAAAGACCTCAGAGTAATCACATGAAAAATCACATTAATCACTAACCCAGACTAACCCAACATTAAATAGCATTCATATAAGGACATCAATCACATTAATCACCATGAACCATCCATGTTTTCCAACACATCGGTGAGGTCCACCAGCGTCCCGGCCGAGCAGATCATTGATTTGATCCAGCGCCGGGGCCGCACGGAACGGATGGATATGAAGCGCACCATGAAACACGAGGGCTACCTGCTGCACAAGGCGCGATAGTTCCACTGGGATCGGCCGGGGGATGAGATCCAGATTGCCATAAAGAACTGTTCGCATGACTGGGGATGGAGTTTATACCACCCATTTATATCCATTTATACCAAAATTGAGGATTGGGGCCTGACTGGATTTACCACATGACAAGTGCAACTTGATGGTTTTTGGGCTATGAACGGGTGTATTCTGGAATTATAATGTATATCATCCTAACCAGTAACGAGCTAAAAACCTTACTTTGTTTGTGTGCAAGTTATCTAGGATTAGCTGCGGCAGCAAGGGAGTTGGATATGTTTAGATGGGGCTGAGGGCTGCTGAGATGGGGTTCACAATAGTTTAAACAAATTGGCGTCGAAAATTTGGGCACCCCAGAAATGGGAAATTGTAGGCTTGGACACCTAAAATGCTCCACTTTGTGCAAGTCCCATGAAGCACTTGGCACTTTGGCTTCGAAATTGATGAATCCGGATGTCCCAGCTACGAGTCATTCAGAAGCTCTGCAGTGATCCAAAGTCTTGAATGTTCGTCATTTGGGTCAAGCTTGGATGGCTACTTCGGTTCAATCCTTTACTGTAAATGTGGAGTTTTACGGAACCCCAGTGTTTTCGCAATGTATCTCAGGTAAGCCATGGTCATGAGCGTCCCATAAAGTCAGCCAGGCAGCAGCGAAAGTGCAAGTCATCCGGTCTGAGTTGGAGAAAGGGGCACAGGAGAGCGCGCAGCAGGGTTGTCATCCCATGGGCAAGGTGTGGGGCATGTGGAGTGGGCTGATAGATGTTCAAAAGATGGGAGAATATGACATTATGAGAGTCCTTGGATTTCAATGTTCTTCGTTTTTGCGCGTCTTTATTGCCTTTATCCTTCAAATTTAGTTTTGAACTGCATCAAAGTACTCATTGATCATGATGATTCCAGCAATGGTGGTGCTGCTGATGATGATGATGATGATGAATACATATGTAAGCCATGAACCCTGGAGCCATTGCTGCTTGCAACTTGAAACTCAGCTTCAAACATTTACATGTTCCCTGCGCTGCGGGACGTACGTGACATAAGCAAAACGGGCTGGCCGTGAAGAAATATGGCAATCAGATCAGATGCCTTCTCCGCAGTAGGCACCAAACCAAAGGGAGTGCTACCATCTTCTTTTCTCTCCGTGGCGAGGACCAAGAAGACGAACCCTTTGCAGAACTCTTGATGGAAGAGTCGCTCCGTTGGCAATCAACGATCGCTGGGGTGCAGGTGAAGATGACTTTCCTAGCTGAACACGTGAATTTCCAGGTTCTGGGAAAAAAACTCCAAATATTTCCTCAAAAATTGGGGTACCATTGGTTTCCCCAGTCAATTTGGGATGATCTTGCCGTTCACCATTTTAGGACCCATGCTCGTCAGCCTGCGAGGTGCAACACGCTGTCACGCCAAATCATGGCCCCTGGGCTTCGCAAAGTTTGGTGGGCTGGCTGATGTTCAAAGCCCTGTTGCTTGATGATTTTGTTGTGATTTAATGGGAATTGATCCATCATTTCACAGGGATTTAACATGATTTAATCATATTCAACCATCATTTATGGGAATAGGCGGAATAGGATTAGATGATGGTTGACTGGTTATTAAAGGGGGAGCATGCTGCTCAAGCTGTTGGGCGTTGTCACCAATCCATGAGCTGGCGACTCCCAATCACTGCTTCAGGAATTGGACCAAGAGAATAAAGACCTACAAAGTCAACTTCTGAAGACAGGCCAGCTGGCGGCCAGGAACAAACGGTTGTGCAGCTTCATTCACTCAAAGTCTCAAAAAAATGTGTTTTTGTTTTGGGCAAAGGGCTGGCAGTGAACATATGGGTTCTTTTTTGATGCTGCGTTGACTGTTTTGATCGCATTTTTTTTTGTCACGATGGAACCCAAACATGGCCGTGTGTTCCAACCCGCTGTTCAATCCTTTTTCCAGCTCCCCAAATATCCGTTGATCTGGGCGCGTTTAGGTGAGATCGATTTGATCGTCTACCAACCCCGCAGCTGAGTTGCACATGGGTTTAGGTAGAGAGAGAGAGACTTGGTCAAATTAAACCTAGCCGACCTTGCAACCTGGTCGGCTTGGGAAAAACAACAAATTCCAAAGCAACATTTGTTTGGTCTTGGGCTTTGCGGAAGTCCATGGAATTCTCACCGCTTCACAATTTCCAATAGGGATAAAAACCGCTTCAGTAGGGAACATGCAGCAGCATGGGTCCACCACAACCGGTTGGCTGCCGGTTGGCTTGGTGATCCCTCCCATACCATGTTAGCCCACTGTTTTAGTATTGGAATGTATGGATCCGTTGATTCTCCTGAGGTGCTGAGCGGCCACAGTGACCCGGCCTGGATTTGACGGGATTCACCTAGATCGGCAGCGTCATGTTTTCGCGGTGAGGCCCCAGACTTGGCAGCCACCCCCACGCAACGTGCCCGAGCTGCTCGGTCGGAACTCGTATCGCCAGCTTGGGGAACTGGGTCATTAAGCTCGGAGTTGAGCTGGTATGATTGTCTATGTGGTTTTGGCATGTTTTTTTGCATGGTTTTGCCCAAAAAATGACGAGTAGTTGGGCTTACCCTATGGCAATATCGACTCGAAAATCCTCAATCTGCTCATGAGCTATACTTACAGAATGTTGCGATGCATCTCCCATGGCCCATTCCGATCTGATTCTTAAGAGAAGTTCCAAAAATCATTGAGCTTCCCACCTTTCCAACTGCCTGGCTCAAGAGATGGATCGGGGGCATGGTACCAGCGGCCAACCATGAGGCACGGGACCTAAAGGGGGGAGATGGAGGACCCACTCCCAGTTGGGGCAGTGCCAGAAGCACCGGCTTGAGAGTGTCTGGTCTAGACTTGTTTAGTCCTGGTCAGATGAGACAGAAAAAGCTTTGCAGTGGCTTGAAAGGCAGAGCAACTGCAAAGAGATAGAGCATCTCAAATAGCCTCGTACCCTTCGAAAATCCACTGGAATCTGTCAGATCCACATGGGGGTGAAATACTTTATTTCATCTTCACTCTTGGCTCATGAGATTGCTGGTTGACACTTATCAATACTTATCACACCTACCCTCTACGTCTACGTACTTATTTTCAAAAAACATGAGGTCCTTCCAAACTTCCACCAGCTTTTTTTCTTCACCCACTAGAAAAATTCTTGAGATCCTCAGTCCATCATCGGTTCTCCATCACTTTTCCATTGGTTTCCCATGACAAAACAGCCTTACGCCTTACCCTCTGGTAATTTAACATAGCTATTGAAAATGGCCATTTATAGTGGATTTACCCATCAAAAATGGGTGATTACCCATAGTTATGTAAACGTTTACCAGAGGGTACGCAGCCAGGTCGAGCTGGTCCGATGACAAGGCCAAGTTGCCCACCTTGAGTCGTTCCAGTCATTCACCTGGGGAAGTCAACGTGCCTTGGAGCGGCCTGCGGCCAGCGTTGGCAGCGTGTTTTCCCCGAACGAAATGGAGGTTTTAATGGGAAAACCATAGGAAAACCATAGGAAAATGGAGGTTTACCCTCTGGTAAACGTTTACATAACTATGGAAAGATCCACTATTTTTTTTGGGTAAATCAACTATTTCTATGGCCATTTTCAATAGCTTTTTGTATGTTTACCAGAGGGTAAATGGAAATCATCTCCATGGTTGATTACCTTTCTGGTATTTATATCTTGTGCGAGAGTTGGGGGGGTCAAGGAGCTACCGGTTGAGTTTCACATCTTCTGGCTGTGACTAATCCTCTCAACATCATCGAAATGGCCAACTTTTCAGCTTGCGAATGAACAAAGTGAAGAAGGAAATGCAGCTTCAATTGAGATCACAGTGGCATCGCAACAGCATCACTATTCTTGGCCATCTGGGGGAAGATCATTTTGATCCCAGCCGGCGAAAAACTTCTCGCTGGTGGATTTTTGTTTTTTTGGATCTACCCGCCTTGGATCCCATTAAAAAAGGGGTGCCGTTGTTCTCCGATTTTTTTGGTATGTTTTTGGAGCTTGTTCCTTGACCCGGAGCTGACATAGCCATCATCTCATAGTCATGTACCCCCCAGGTCAGGTGACTTCATGGATTGGTTTGAGGGAAAATCGACACCGGAAACCATATGTGTTCCTTGATTTTCCCATGACGTATGAAAGTTTCCCGTAAAGCTTCCCTTCCACCAATCCAGCCAATCCATGGGTAGCCGAGTGTCTCCTTGTCCAGCCAAGGCATGCAAGTCGTCCGTTCTGTCCGGGGGCGTTCTGGCTCGGCGAAAAGCAGAGCCTCCTCGGCTTGAGCCTCTACAAGGAGGATGGGGCATTCTCGATCCAGACTGGGAATATCTGATATCTTTTGAGAATACTTCAACTGGAAGAACTGAACAGTGGTTAATTTATGAAATTTGAATCCTGGCTTATAATATTATACATACATAATTATACCCACAGGCCCCTTGTGTTGCCCAAGCCCAGAATAGCGTAAATTACAAGGATTTTTTGTTCACACTATACATCTCATATAAATTCTCCCACCCCCATTGAACTTCTACATTCATTGAAGATTCTTCAATAAGGGTTTAATTCTCCCACCCCCGTTAAACTCTTACATTCATTGAAGATCTTCAATAAGGGTTTAATTCTCCCACCCCCGTTAAACTCTTACATTCATTGAAGATCTTCAATAAGGGTTTAATTCTCCCACCCCTGTTAAACTTCTACATTCACTGAAGATCTTCAATAAGGGTTTAATTCTCCCACCCCCGTTAAACTTCTACATTCATTGAAGATCTTCAATAAGGGTTTAATTCTCCCACCCCCGTTAAACTTCTACATTCATTGAAGATCTTCAAAAAGGGGTTAATTCTCCCACCCCCGTTAAACTTCTACATTCATTGAAGATCTTCAATAAGGGTTTAATTCTCCCACCCCCGTTAAACTCTTACATTCATTGAAGATCTTCAATAAGGGTTTAATTCTCCCAACTCCGTTAACCTCTTACATT